CCTTGCCAGCCGGCGTGGTCCTTGACGGGTCGGATAAACACTGGGTTACCGGGTAGGTCCCGCAAACGCCCCCGTTCCCCGCTAGGCCACAGTCGGAAGGCTATTCGTCGGCTCCCCAGCGGGCCTTGAAGCTCTCTTTCGCTTCTTTCCAGCCTAGCTAGCTAGCTCGCTCACTAGATGGCTGGCTGGCTAGACTTGGTTCACTTGTTTGTCAAGAGCGTTACTGTCCTCCACGTCTGGCCCTCACTCTCAACTAAGCCCCTTTTAAAGACCCTCTTCCCGGTTACGCGCGCCCTCCTCCGTCGCCGTTTGTTACACTTACTCGCTTCTGCGAGTTCTGACTCTCGCTTTTTCCCTCGGAAAGCCTCTTCCTGGCTCAGCCGGGTCTAACGACGTCGTCGACGACGACGACGACCAGAACTACTGCTTGAATGAGAGGACGCTTGAATGAGTCTATGAATGAAAGTCCAACAGTGGAAACGAGAGCGACCGATTTTCTAATGTGAAATGTTCATGAGCGCTTACGTATGTCGACACAAACAATTTTCCCGGAACAATAGCAACGCCGGGATAGAAACTATCTAGACGAATGGACATAAGCCGAGCATGTCTTTTCCGGTGTTCGGAGACAGGAGCCGTCTCCGTGACAGGTCCGGGTAGCATCCCACCGTCTGATCTCAAAAATTCGTCCTTCAGCAGATGCAACACCACGGGGGAATCCTTTTGGGAACGAACGATTCCAAGGGACGACACAGCAGCTTTTCATCGGTGATGTCGTCGGACGGCGCGGTATCTCCGCCCCCGCACACCCTGCCCAACTCTTCAATAGGCTCGCATCAAAACGCCTTGAATCAGCATCAACTGTCGTTCGTTCCGCAACACATACCGCATGATTTGGTGAGCAGTCCGCATTGCCTCAGTGCCCCGAATCGTAGAAGTAGGCAGAGAACGTCATCGATGAAGAAGACGACGGCGACAGTTCGTTCCGTCACTCATTACGTTATCGTTGCAGGTGCATAAGATGAGTTCAGGCCAGAAGAAGAAGTTACCGACGCCTATTCCGAAGGAGTGTAAGGACGAAGCTTACTGGGAGAGGCGTAAAAGAAACAACGAGTCGGCTAAACGTTCCAGAGAACTTCGTCGCATCAAGGAGCAGCAGACGACGTTACGAGTGCTCTATCTCGAGCAAGAGAATCTTCAACTCAGGACAGAACTCGGAATGCTCCGGAGTGAAGTCGACAAGCTTCGACAGCTACTCTACGTAACTAGCAAGCAGTCGCCTCCCGCCACCGCCAACGGACGGAGTCATTCGCAACAGCATCAGATACAACAGCAGCAGCAGCCGCAAATTCAGTCATCGCTCTCGCTTCATCCGCAGTCATCGGAGTCCCCCGACCAAGTCGTAGGGTCGGGGCCCGCAGCCCAACAGGACAACAGTCAGTATCTGAATCGTCTGAGTGCATCTCCCCCGCCACGCAGAATGAGCATCCCGGTAGCGGCGGGCGATCACGCCCCCCATGAGAGGTTGCCCCCCATAGCCACTTTGCAACAGCCGCAGCTTCAGATGCGCCGGATCATTCTTGCGTCACCGCCCTCCCGTCCTCTGGTTCCGTCATCGTCGGCCGCGTCGTCGCACGCGGTCGTGTCTTCATCTCGCAGTCCCTCACCTCAGGGTCGGGACGGTCGGCGAGAGATTTCGGCCTCACCGATGTCGAGTTCTCCCGATGCTACTGATCTGAGTCCGTTGCCACATCGTGTGGCTCTCACGCCGCCATCCCCCACCGAAGTCTGTGTCCGACCTCTCGAACTAGGCCAGCCGGCGACCGATACGCAGTCGTCGAATACAAGTAGTGAAAACAGTTTTCAAAGTCACACGAGCGGCGGTAGTTGCAGTCCACCGACGACAGCGGCGGTTCAACAACACCCCCTGCAGCCAGCGATCCTGCGTCACAAGAAAGCTCGGCCGTCTAGCCCCATGATAGGAGGGGTCAGCCTCAGTACACAACATCATCAACATCACCATCAACAACATCAACACCAACACCACCAGCAGCAGCAGCATCAAGCCTCTCCCCAAGGAACCCCCTCGCCCCAGCTCCTTCAGTCCTCAATTAGCACCAATAAGCAGCTCCACGCAATGGCTCAACGAGAGTTCCAACGAGACTCTCAACAAGATGGACCTCCGAGAGGAATAGATGTTGCGCGACTTCGTCAAAGGAATTCCAATTTACACTACGAGCCGCGCTTGGTCGCCCCAACTCTGGCCGCATAGATAGATCATCGCTCCTATCACGACTCAAACGACAGTTCGCGAACAATCAGAGTGCGACCGAATTCCGAGCGGTCGCACTTTAGCCGTTGTTGAAGTTCTGCACCTCCATTCATTCGACGGCGACGACATTGACCCATGGCGAAACCCCACGCCGACGTCTGTCCCCCCGCTACCCCACCGCTACAGGATACAACACCGGTGTTTCTCCAGTAAATCCATTAGCTTTGCTCCGTTACGTAATGATTATGAAGATTATTATGCCATCAGCTAATGCCCAAGTATCGTCTGTGTGAACACGAGTGAAAGCAAAAAATCAATCCCCGTGATTGATTCTCTCTTCGGCGCTTCAGCCGGAGCTACGGAATGACAGCAACGGTAACAACAGCATACGAGGGGAAGAACCAACCAACAAAGATGGGTGTACAGATGAGCTGTGATGAAAGTTCGTGTTTTGTATCGGAACGGATTTGGAAAGTTTTTTAAGGATGCCTTTCAGCATTCGGTGCGCGGCGTCCGAAAGGCCGTCCTTGAAAAGTGAATGGGTCTTGGTTTTTTTCGAACAACGTTCGAATTGACCCAACCGTTGACCGAGAGTAGAGTGCGCTGAGATGTGATACGATTGTGATACTCAGAAGCAGTGATAGCCGCGGCAGACAACTTCTGCTAAGAATTGTGGTTCTACGAAGAGTTGAAATAATTGTTCCCGATCCGGAGAAGCAGGAAGAGACGCGCTCTGCCATAGTTTTACGCAATTCCGCGCTAGGGAAGCGAATCGTTGTCTCGGTCGGTACATTTGGATTACTACTGCTCAGCCAGTTTAGCTTCTGACTAACTGAGAGACGGAGGTGAGAAGGAGGAGGCTCCGGTAGTTCGGTGACATGTAACCGAGGACAACCAGAAACCCTCCAATCAGACGGATTCTTTTCGAACGCTCGTCAGAATCATCGATTTCTCTCGTATACGCCTCCCGCTGACTCTCTATCCGGATTTCTAATCGGCGTGGCCTGCGACAGACTGATAACCTCACCCATTCTTCCCTGTTCCTAGTCGGAAATGTTCTAGTTGAATTAAGGCTCTCGTTGAGGTAGAACGAATTGCCTGCGCGGCCGGCCGGCAGTCAATCAGTCAGACTGATACTAAGGGAACATCATTCTCGGTGACGAGAGCTCGTCAATCCGAACCGCTAGCACTGCATGCCGAGGCAATGGACGACTTGCGTTTATTGACTATTTATTTTTCTATATATATTACATTTGTAAATACGGAGCCCGCGAGGCGTGTTTGCTGTTATTTCCTATGTCACAAGAGGCATTATAACAATTGAGACCCCAGCTGTCGAGTCACAATATTCCTAGGCGTAATTCTAATAAGGGAATAATCATTAGAACAATTTTACACCAGGAGAACAACAACATCGGCTGATCTAGCAACAATGTCTGTCCCGATCGAAGCCTCGGCACAAATCGAAGCTAAATCGATCAGTGGGAACACCGACAATAATGGCGAGGGTCGGCAGCAGCAGCAGCGATAGAACGGAGTCCGAATCGAGTCCGAAAGTTCAAACCGTCAAACTACTGCTCGTCCACCCGAACCACCGATCCACTATGATGGACACCGAATGCTTTAATTTTGCACGTCGTGTTCCGGCAGAGCGCGATGGCAAGCGTGACCAGATCTAAGGGGTCTCTAGTAAAAATATCTTTTTGATGTGTGTGTAATTTACCTGAACTACGAGAGCTCTCATCTCTATTCTCGAATCAGACTCTTATATAATAGTGAGTTGTCTAGCGAATAATGGAAATCATTTGCTCCGCTGAATGTTCGCATCGCAGCGATGAAAGAGATGAGTTTTTTCCGATTTACGATGTTACTCCGTATATCACGTGGTGAACGAAACATCACGTTTCATTCCATAACGTATGCTCAAACAGAAACTTTATCTAAAGAATTAAATTCTCATGATTAATAAAGCATATGGTTGACCCGAAACCGAAGTGTCTTCTCGTATTCCCGCACAACCAGGGGCAACCCGGCAGACTCAGACAGGAAAACCCCAGAAGGGAAATCTGAGAGATCCGCGAGCGGGCGTTCCGGCGACAATCCGGCCTCCCGTCCCAATAAGCCAGAATCGGATGGGGCTCCGCGGTCCCTCGGAATGTATTGACCACTCATGCTCCTCTCGGCTCAGGGTACGTCGTTGACGTAATCACGCTCGTTGGAATCTGGGCTCCTGCACAAGGAAGCTCGAGCTGGTGAATGGTTTCGAGGTGAAGTCCTTTCAGGGTTAATGTAACCCAAAAAACCTCCTCTTTTATCATGCCCTTTCCGTCACAAACGATCCCCGGCTTGTTTACTTCCGATAGATAAGCGGCCAGGCTTATTTTTAATGGAACGTCGATCCCACGCGTACTTCATTCGACCGGATCCGATTTTCTTCTATCATCGCTTCTGGCAATCTCGCTTGACTTCCAGCGTGCGCCGCGAGCGGATTGAAACACGGGCCTGAACTCGGCTCATTCGTCTAGTCATATTCCGGCAGGCGATTCCTGGCTCGAAAACAATAGGCAGAGCCGCGAGATCGAATTCTCCAATTTTACTGAGATTCAGTGTTCCATCGCGTGAAATTCACGACGGCTCCCAGTCACGCTACGCGACCGGAATAACATCGGGGGGGGGGATCGATGCGTACCGGCGAAACGTTCTCACTAAGTCGAATCAACGTACTCACCTTGATAATCGAATGAAGGATGTGGGCCTGGATTACAGATCGTTTATTTGCGATCTGTGTATATAGCGATACACTCATCTCCATGGCTCTTTCGCCGAACGGCACGAAACTCATTGTGACCCAATCCGTCTGAGACGATAGAAAAAAAAACACAATGAGATTCGATACAATGAAACCGCATTGAGAAGCCCACCGCAGGAGCTCAATCTTCTCTCTCACTCCATACACGGCCTCGAGAGCACCGAAGATGAAATCGTTCGGACGACAACTCGATACAAGCTATCTTTGTTGTAGGGAATAAGAATCCATACTTACAACAGGCTTGACAATGTTGTTATTGTTATGGTTGCATGGCGGAGAAAACGATCCGAAGGAAGGAGCTTGACACGCATACGTGCTGAAGCGCAAGAGCTGTTCGAATAGGACCGGTAGCATGTCCCAGAGGTTCTCACACGAAGAGAACAGGATTTCCTGTAAATGCCAATTATTGACAAAATCAAGCAAGAGACGAAGTCGTATGATCGATGATTATATTCCGAGCCGAGGCCTGACGGCGTACCCTTTGGATTGTGTCGATCGTGGACAGAATAGCCTCCTGCAGCGGGCTCACGACGACATCCGTCAAAGACGGTAAGATGAAAGGCGCGGTATCCGCGTGCATCGGCACGGCGGAAGCGTTTTCGAGGACTCGACAGAGCTTGCGCAGGTCACACTCTTGGAATCGCGGCTTGATGTGTTGGAACAGCAGCGGGAAAATGTGGATGAGGGCGGTGAGGAACGGCTGAGACGGGATGAAGATCTCGTGGTTGTCCTCGCCGGCGGGTGCTTGCGTCGAATTCAGTCCGATCGTGCACCAGACCTTCCAGGCGGTTTCCCACAGCATCGCCTCTTCCGCGGCCTTGTCGGACGAAAGCGAGTCGAGGCCGCTGTCTCCGTTGAGCGAAGGCGCCCCCGACATCGAAACCGAGTCACCGCAAACACTGGTCGCGCTACTCGACGGCACGGTCCCCCTGGACGTCATGTGCAACATGTCCTGGAAGCTTTTCAACGCCGATAACGACACCTCATTGTTCTTGGAGAGCGCTGAATTCTCAATGAATTCCAGCAGCAGCGCCCACGCCCGTCCGAAATCCCCCAAGCTCTGTAGTATGTCCCTTTTGACGTAGAATACGCGGGCGACTCCACCGAGAGTCAGCACCTGCGTTTCCGCCCATTGTTTCTGAGCCGTGTTTCTCGAGTGATGAATAAGAATATTTCCCGCCATGTCGGTGACCTTTTCCGTTGATGCGCTTCCCGAGAGATTCCGAACCCTATCCAGCAAGGGGAACAAGACATTCCACAAAACCGCTTGCCACGTCTGCTGTTCGAGAAGACCGCCGTGCGCATTGATCGTCGAGAACAGAGTTTGTCCCCCGGATTTCCGTACGGCCGAACGCGGATCGACGCACAGATCCCCTAGCGAAGAGAAGAGCGTCATCCACAACTGATCGAAAGGCGGTAACGTCGCTGTCAACTCCCTGCAGAGAGATCCATCCGTCGGAGATCCTTCTTTCGAGCCCACGGATACGGAGCATCCAGTCTGGCCGAGTTCCATCGACACTCGCTGTTTGTTCTGGTAGAGGTAATCCGCAATGTTCCACTGTAAACAAATCGAGCGAACTGTCACAAGACGAGCGAGAAGCTTCTCGTAGCTCGTCCCCAGCCCGACGCTTCGGGACCGGACATTGTCCGCGATCTATCGAGCGCTTACCAATAAACCAATGGCCGTTAAGGACACATTCAGATCTTGCGTTTGGAGTCCGAACTTTGCAGCTGTTTGAATGCACAGTTGTAGCGAAGAGCATGGCATAATCGAGAGGAAATCCGCAACCACGCGCTGGAGACACTGGAAGGCCGATCGTACCAAGGCTTCCCTAAAATGAAAAAAGTCGGCTCGACGCTTAGATACGAGTAACGAAATGTGAGCGCATAACGAAACTTGTAACGCCGTTACCCAAGTGAAATACGGACCCTGTAGTACAATTTTTCGCTACGAGTAGCGGGTAATGCGGGTCGGCATCCTTCTCGCCGACGCATATCACTCTGTGGAATCAATGATGCAACGTGTTAGATTCTTCGAGATGCTGCGAATTCCTACGACGGTAATTTTCTCAGCTCTGATTGCGCTACCCTGCGGAACTGACCCCTGGTTATCCGTTATGTTCCCGATGATCGAGAGAATTTGTTGCCATCCATGACCTAGGCTCTCGCCAGCGACTCCGGCGTGTAGAATTGCCAACGTGCACTCAATCTGCTTGGCACGAATATCGAAGTGGAGTGTGTTTGAACCCATATCCACCAGAGGAGCCAACAACATTTGCTGCAATTGCTGGAAATAAATAGAAAGTCTGACAAAATGTCACCGATGCTCCGTTCTGTATTCATTCATTCCACGTTCGAGGTTTCCTCCTGAGCACAGAAGTGTTCAGGCTCAGACATTCGCCCCAGGACGGAACGGAGCCATGAGGCACATTTCTGCGTTCATCCGGGATACTCGTTGACGACGCGTCGTCGCTTCGGCGCTCCGTTTTCGCCCACGTCGCTAATGCACCCTTTTTCTCCATCGAGCATCGTCGGACGCAAAGCGTCCAGAATGTTCTTTCGGTTCGATCGATCGAAAACAAGCTTAAGCTCATCAAAAACAAGCAGTCCACGGATTGGGGGCAGAGCCCGTGGCCTTTATGCAAAGGGCATCTGAGGACTTCAGACAAGCCCGTACGGCAAACAAAGTAATGTTACTCAACCCTATCAGATTGCGACCACCGTGCCGAGCATTGCAGTGGAATCGATCGCTTACAATCTGATTCGACAATGCGCTCAGACGGTCAAAACTCCGAGCGATACGCTGCTGTTGTTCGCTGGCGCTCAGGATACTGAGTTAATGACGTCACCGGTATACTACATGCATGTCTCATCATGCGAGCTCGATTCTTCCACGAACCTCTCGCGGGAACAAATCGCGGCAGAGAGTCGGCGTTTCAACGACGCGAGCTCTCTACTCGAAATGAGTTTCAAGATCGATACCTTTGTCGAGAGACGACTGAGAATTCGGGGGAATGAGGGCTGATATTCCTTCCCCGTGGGGGAAAACACGAATCGGACGAAAACAAGCACAGCTTACGATACAATGTTTCGCATTACATCATCGGGAGCCGCCTCGTTTCAGAGGTCCGGGACGGAGCCGCACGTAATTTTCGTTGAGCTCGTAAATGGCTATGGAGTAAGCCGATAGGTTACGACACGAGGAAACGGTGAATGAATGACGGCGTAGTACTGAATGACACATTGACGTAATAAGACTTTGGGCAAGATGAAACAGGCCCCTTTCATCACCGCACGATCAGGCAAAGGAAAGGTTGATCGGGCCGAGCTTCGTGACTGCCGAAACGGACAATACTAGCATGCACTCACCGGATTCTCTGCGAGAGGTGGGTTGTACTCCTTGTAGTTGAGGGCAGACTTCACCAGATATGTCAACGCCTCGGCGCCCCATTCTCGCATCGTTGTATGGGGATGTTGACAAACCTCGTTGAGATGCGAGGTCATTGGCTTCCAGAATACGGTCACTCTGCCCAAATTCACGAGGGCAGTTTCCAGGAGTTTAGCAACCGCAAACAGAGAGGGTTCCTACGAGAGAAAATCATAAGTCGGATTCGTGCCAATTTCTCAGAAAAATCCTTTCCCACGTCCTCATCTCGAATTCATAATGTTTCCGGAGAGATCATTCGCGACGTGATTTTGAATTTAAGCCAGATCAGACACGAACGCTCGATATAATTCCAATCTTCTTCTACAGTCATTTACATCGATCGAGGACGGGGATTCCGAGTTTTGATCTCGCTCTAAATAGCGAGACTGCGAATCGGATCCGAGGCCCCATCGCGATAGACTATCGCTCTCGACCAATGAAGCAGTCCGGCTAAGATAGCCAATTCCCCGAATTCGTTTGCAGAAGAATCCTGCGACATCGACGGACTTGTCAGTTGCGACCGAACAGAGTCGGCGGTATATTTACCCTGTTGCTAAATGCCAACTCCATAGATTCCTGAGACAATTTACAAAGAGCATCGATCAGATGATGTAGGGCGACCTCGCTCAAGTTTCTGCAAAACGACAAGCATTTAAAATGAGTTTCTCCGGATACTGAGCTCATCGGTATGCGGTAGCACTACGGCGATTGCGACTGGAGCAGAGAGGAATAAAGCATGCGTTGACCTGTACTCGCATCCACTCATTGCGAAAAGTCAAGCCGACCTAGACAAACGCGACCTGGGCGAATCTAAGGAAGAGCCTTAGTGGTCTCCTCTGGCAGTGAAGCAATCACTGGTCAATACTTACTCAGACGCATGGAAAACTTGAGATACACTTCCCGCTAGCGGAACGTAACTACGTAGCAGCGTGCGATACGTTACACAATGTTAGTTTTCCATTACGAAGTATTCATGTTACAAGAATGCATTGATTGAGAATCCGCGGACCCAACCCGCCACGGAAGATCCTTCTCGAGGAAATGCGAAAAAGTGCGAATTCAGACCGAGTGCATCGGGAAACTTACTGTGAGTTCTCGAAGAGGCGGCTTAACATCGCGGACAGAACCGGTAAATCATTGGTCACTGCCGTTGTGAGGCAAGACTCTCCGGCATTCGAGTTTCCTTGATTGGAACCAGTTGGGGGAGCTTTGAGGCCGCCCCCGGCCGCTGGTTTCAAGCCGAGGATCCACACGAGGTGTTGGAGGGTAGTGAGGACCATGTGCCACGCGGTTGACAAAATGGCACCATTCGACTGCGCCAGAGCCAGAATAGCCCTCATACACTGGAGATTCTTGGCCGTCAACTGAAAAGAGAATATTCGATGAAATTAGAAGAGGGAAAACTCAACTCTCCCGGAGGGACGCGGAAGACCTTCCGAGACTTCGGCACTTATGTATACGCTTCTGAAAAAATCTGCCTACCATAACAGGTCCCTGATGCGCTCCTTGCGGTAGAGATCTAGTCGGAAGGGGCGTCCCGACGGCGACGATCTGATCCCGATTTACGTCATTTCCCCCGTCGAGGGACCCACCACTCCCGAGATACGGTCCGAGCGAAGGACGCATGTCGACTACGGAATCCGCTTCGTACACCGAGCGAGGGGACACGTAGCTCGATTGGTAGATCGTTGTGAGGACAGTCAACGTGTAGTGAGGCGGCAACGAGCCCTTGCACATGGCTGAGATGAAGGCGTCGCGAGGAGTGCACATGTTCAACTGACCGCACAGCACGGCGAATTGCGTTATGCATTTCAGAAGTGTGTCCGTGATCTGGTCGTCGCAACTGGAACCAAAATTCATTTTTGCCATGGTGAGCCCAATGGAAGGGGGGGTCACGCTGGGAGCGCGGGCGCTCGGGCAAGCGGTTCCCGCGCCAAGACGAAGGTCTGCCGGTATGAACTCGAAGGCCGACGAATCTGAAGAAGCAAGAACGTCGGGGAGGAATTCTTACCTGGTTTCCAGCAGGAGCCCCATAACTGAAATGAGGCCTCCCCAGGAGGAATGCACCAGTTGTATGCACAGTTCTTGGTTGTTGTTCGCTTCATCTTCACTCGCAGGCTGTTGCTTTTGGAATTTATGGATGAGCTTCGTCACGGACGTGATCATCTCGATGATTGAAATGTACCCGACCGATAGGCAATATCCTTCAGGAACTGGTGTTACTTCAACTTTATCCAACATTTCCGCGCTGAGGAAAAGAAAACTTGTTCAGAGTTTGCAACACACACACGCAACTCCTTAGACATGATCTCATTTCTCGCGGGATGGATGGGTGGCTCAGAGTCTAGATGGATGCGTGTGGCCGTGACGGTAGCGCGAGCCTTCTCTGAGCGCGAGGAAAACAAACTCACCGATGACTGTCCAAATAAGGAATCGGATTTTGAGACGCGGTTCTTTGAATCCACGAAAAGATAAAGGTATAAGGAAAGTTAAGGAGAATGAGCGCATTTGAAATACTCACAATAAAGGCTTGAGAGGCGTTTGTGTGACTTTGGGCAATAGGAGCATTGATTTTCCCTTGTAGTTGAACATCGGCTGCGGGACTTGAGCCTGCTGACCCGGCTGTACAGCCGACACCATGAAGGACTGCTGTTCTTGGAGGAAAAGCGACTCGACACAGACGCACAACGAGTTGATGATTTCTTGGAGAATTTTCGATGAGTGCGCCTTCATGTCGTAATGGATGCAGAAACACCGGAGGAGATCTGGCTGAGAACACATTTTGTACATAACCTCGAGGGCTAACGCGCGCTGCCAGTCAGCTTTTTCAGGATCGAGGAATTTGGTTATCAGACTCAGGAAAATTTCGCACTCCGTCACCAGACAAGAATAGAATCTCGCTATCAGAACGGACACGATGCGGATGAGTCGCATACACATCGGGAAGAAGGGTTTGTCCGGAATAGCGCCCGGAGCCGGCTGCGGGGCTCGGAACTTCGTGTTGGGCGAGAAGAGTTTTATGACCAGAGGACAGACGCGTTCCTTCAGCAAAAAAGTGAATTCGGGGTGTTTTATGAAGATTTGGTAGAATTGAGCCAGAATGTCCTCGATGAGCTCAAGACCGAAGCTGCGGGTCATTTCCTGCAGACCCAACAGCCACGTCGGCTGCTCGTTGTTCACCATGAATGTGAGATCTTGGAAGAGTAAATATGCGTCCGCCGCAGCTCTACCGAGAGAAGCCGGCGCCGAATGAGTTCCGCTTTTCAGCTCCTCGACGCATTGCTTCGCCTTGGTGAGGTCGGTTCTTTCATTCAACTGCTGCGTGGCTCTCTCAAAAACGCAATTGACACATTGGCGTATCGTCGCGACCGCAGTGTTGTTGGTGGTCGCGTTTTTCGTGAAATGAAGCCGGAACGAGATGACAAGTGCTTTCGCCAGAACGTGATCTTGAACGGAGTCCGTGGTGACCAGCAACTGCGTTATCGTTTGGAGCGTCTTCACTTCCTCGAGGCCGGCTTCCATGAGACCCCACAGACAGTTGACAATATTTGAAGCGGCGAGCTGTGAATCGAACAGACGAACGAAGATTACTATCGGGGCTCCCCTCCAAAACTTCGTGGAATGTCTCGACTTCGAGTCATTGCAAGTTATCGACGGGAGATGACGCGAACTCACATTGTTAACTGCTTTGATGTTGATCATACGCTGTATCGCAGAGAGGGAGATCTGTACAATTTTCGGATGCTTCGTGTCGCAACCGGCGAAGAAGGGCTCTAGAATTTCTGGCGAATCCGAGCGTAGAGCAAGCACGAGCTGTTCGTGCTTCGCGGCAGCATTGCGAAGCTTGACGATGCCGGACTCTGCAGTCTGTTGGAAAGACATAGATTGTTTCTTCGATTTGCAAGGAACCGATCACTCATATAACAGAATCGCTCCTCCCGAGGACAAGAGGAGGATTATTTCTCCGTATATCATTATTTTTCATTATTTTCGATTGAAGATCATCGAATGGATATCGAAACAAACCTCCTTGACAGCGGGGAACTTTCTCTTCGCCTCGTTGGACAGCTGTCGGAGATCTGACTGCAGATTGTCCAGCAGTTTCTTGTCTGCGGCGTTCATTGCATTCCGACTCGCCATCGTGAGGACCTTGCAGGACCTAGGAAACCGATCGCAGCTCCTGAGCGAGTCTACAGCTTACGATGAAGCCTAGCTCTGAAAATCGAAGGAAGAGCCATGCGTTTTTAGAGGAACATTGAACAGAAAGAGAGAGAGTGGTGGAGGAGTTTGTCGGGTACAAGCCGTTCCGGAGCGAAAGATCATCGTACCGATTGAGTTGGAAGCCATGAAAAAACAATCCGGCATCAGAGAATCCACATAGTACGGAATCTGATTCTCATTAATCTGATATCGTCGAGGGTGTGGTGCTCGAGGCTCGAAAGAGTCGGCAGACTATCGAGTTGACGATCACTCCAATTAGCGCTTCTGACCCCTCCTGTACGAGGTGAAATTCAGAAACTCTTCATCGCTCCGGAGGCTTGTTCATGACTCGATTTGTGGGGTGCGCAAAATACAGCAGTTCGACAGCAGTCGATCGATCGCCCCTCCATCCGGCAACGCCTCCGAAATCAATTGAAGCTTACGATTCCGTATCGGAGCCACGTTATAGAACCAAAACACGTCTAAGATGGAGCCCTGGACTATTTCACAAGCGAAACTTTCACGCCTCAGTTTCGATAGCTGTTGGCCGAGTCGCATGTAATAGGTTGGTTTCACAATTCTCGGCTAACTCCTTGATTTACCACCGGGCTTTAATCGTGTGATTCCTTCGGACCTGGTCCACGAGCTGCTCAGAGTCGAATAAATGGAACGGGAAATGTACCGACCGATGGAGTTTGGAAAATCAGAGCAAAAATTCTATCTACTGAGGGTTCCGACAGAGAGAGAGCGAACGGCGAACGTCAGCCGACTCTCTTATGGAGCAGCGGGATTTCTCATTATTCGAGCGTGCGTAGATACTCACTAGTTCACGTCAACGCGTGTGGTCACCTCGAGCTGCATCGAGACACCTATTTTCGAGAAACCCACGAATTTTTGAAAACACTACAACTCGATGTTACTTCAGGAGAAAGACCGAGTGGTCGTCATCTGGTGGAACTTCTTCTTTGTTCTCGTTTCAAAACATCGTTCGGAACAGTTCGACTGCTCCGAGACGATTTCGCTCAAGGGCTGGGCCACGTCAAGGCGGAATTCCGGATCGTGATCGAGAGACGTGTAATCTGGTACTCCGGATGGTGATCTTCCGAAGCGCGGAAAGTCGCGGAATTACGCATCGTACTCGAATGCGACGGAGGATTCGAGCAAATTTTGAATCAACCCGCCGAAGCGCCTCTCCGAAGCTTTGACGCAGATCATTGTTGTCAGTCAACAGCAGCTGCACCCAGACGCAGCTTTCCCCATTCGAGCTCTGTCGTCGTTGGGTATTGTGAATGATAGGTGTACCAGCCGTCTCCTCTGTAAGTACGGTAGTGAATTGTTGAAGGGGCTCAGCCCCATATAAGATTCACGGAGAACACCCTACCTTTAGCATCTGTTGACATTGCGAAAGGTCTCGAACAGACTCATGTGGATCTTTCGAAACGACAGGCCTCACGAATCGAACTGTGAGTCAGACCGACCAAGGCCAGTCAGCTCAGTGCAAGGCTCGTGAAATTCGTTGGAGCTCCTGTCCTTATCGCGAGCTAATCTAGCTTCGGGCTGCAGAGAGAGGTCGTGTGACTTCCTAAATATGTGCGGAAGTCTCGCTGACACGACGCGCGATGAAAAGCTGAAATTTACGCTCCGTCTGGATTTATCCTTCTTCGACGATGTCGTAATTCAGATATTTCCCATCTGTCGCCTCTGAAAGTCTTTCAGCGCTACAGTCAGACTAGTTTGCAAGACTGGATTTTCTATCGAGTGAGAATGCTATAATCTCATTCATCTTGCCATGCGTGAGACTGCGATAGCTCTGGTCCTGAGTCCTGAGTCACGAGCTATTAGCTTCGAAATTAGAGATCCAGGACTCAAAGACGTCTTGTGGCCTTTACGGGCGACGCGTCGATATGTCGCCTCAACGGGGAATAGAATCACCTTACGTGCATCAGCTGAGAGCCTTTTCTGATCAGGCAGAGAAAATTCGGAACGAGTTCTCGATCGTTCATTTCATATGGAGATATTCGTGCGTCGTGGTCGGTCGTATACCCATAGGCAGAGGACCGACTTGATGATGTGGAAGTTGACTCTCGCCCCCCCTTTAGCAGGGAGCTTTTTGTCGCCTTACCTCACAAACCCCATTCGAATTTACCGTGGAGAACAGCGCTAAGCATAACATGGAACTCAAGCGGAGTTGAGTCCGAAGTGATGAGCTCCATTCTCGCGGAATGACAATAAGGCTTCTTGATTCCAGATCGAACCCCTCGAAAGAACAAATCATGTCTCTTCTGAGTCGGCTATTCGGGGGTGGGAAATCTTCAGCGGCGAAGTCCATGTCGCCCGCCGACGCGATTCAGAGGCTGCGCGAAGTTGAGGAGATGCTCGAAAAGAAACAGCAGTTCCTCGAGAAGAAAATGGAAGCCGAACTTGAAACCGCGAAGAAGAATGGCACGAAAAACAAACGAGGTAGGTGACATCAATCCGTTTTACCATCTCTTTCGGAACGCGGCTCTCCAAGCTTCTACCCGGAAGCAAGTAAGGCTAGCAGTCGTCGGGTAGAATTGCTATTCCTCGAGGGAATAGCTTAGTGCTCAGACTTGACTCGAAATTCAGCCTCACTTCGGAGAAACTGATGATTGGATGGCTTTTCCGGACTGATTTGGTAACCTGATATTCCAGTGGCTCTTGCTGCTCTAAAACGCAAGAAACGATATGAACAACAGCTGAAGCAGATCGACGGGACCCTCACAACGATAGAATTCCAACGTGAAGCTTTGGAAAATGCAAATACCAACACTTCGGTCCTCCAAGTTATGGGAGACGCCGCGAAAGCCCTCAAAAAGGCCCATGCAGACATGTGAGTATCCCGTACTGAACGGACTCTGCGAGTCCCGACTGGCTCTCCTAATCATTTCGGGAGCATGTCGCTTCGGTGCGTATTTGTTTGGAGGCGACTAACGAATTCTCTTCTCCTTCCCCCCCCCCCCCACGGGATGTCGATCAAGTTCACGAACTCATGGATGACGTTCAGGAGCAGCAGGAGATTGCCAATGAAATTTCGGAAGCCATTTCGAACCCGGCAGGTTTCGGTACCGAAGTTGACGAAGACGAACTTCTCGAAGAACTCGAACAATTGGAACAGGAAGAAATCCAAGCGAAACTGTTGGACGTGCCGTCCGAGCCCACGCCAGTCGTTACGGACGAACTCCCATCGGTACCTTCTGAAAAACCAGTGGCCGCCAAGAAGAAAACCGAAGAGGACGACGAGCTTGCAGATCTTGCCCAGTGGGCTTCGTAGAAGTGTCGTTGTACAAATGCTTAGGAAGTGGTTGAGGAATAACATGAATCAGTGCGTATTCACTACAGAATACTTTGCTAGCTTGTCGATGATGATATGTAAATATCTTGGAATCGCCCGCACTGCGACAAAGTGTTACGCTCTCTTTAATAATTATTGAAATGAATGGATAATATTGCGAGGAAAAACCTTGTGTCTTCATGCGTTCTCTCCTGGAACTCGTCTCCAGAATAACAACTGCTCTACTTCAATCCGAGCGCCTCAATACGGAGAACTGCGAAAGCTGCTCTCCGTACTGTATTCCGTCTGCCAGGGAAATTCTCCAAGGGAGCGGGAGCATCCCCGATTTTTTCATCCGCATCATTCGGCAGAGGACCTTCAACTTCTTCCGTGTGCGCATCATCCTCGAACGGCAACGGTTGTCGTTCCGCTGGAATTCAAAATCGCCCGCGCTTGCCGTAACGTCTTAAGCGAGGAGCGTCGTGAGTTTTGGCTGAAATATCATAATACCGTTCCCTGCTGGCACCCGATGACTCCATAGAGTCTGCCAGTGCAGTCGTCTGTCGTTTGTGCGCCTGCTGGCCGACCGAGAGTGCGCCGCACTTCCATTCGGGAGTCTCTGTCGGAGTAGAACGACTCCGGAGGTATCGCAACCCGGGACGCGCTCCACGCTGATTTTTGGAAGAGCTCCTCCGTCCGGTAATGACGCGTTCGCTTAAGATTTTTTGACTGGGTTCTGTCGCTATGGGTTCGCCATGGTCTTCTCACCGAATTCCGGGAATCATCTTCTTCGGGACCCAGAGGGTCAAGGTTAGACCCCGGATAACTATCGGGGTCATGGAAATCGTATCCTATTCGATGACTAATCCGCGTGATGACCTCAGCGATTCGGTGTCTGATCTCTATGTAGGAGGCGGGTCATGGAAGCAGTAGATAAGCTCCTAGGGCTTTTCCACCTTGGAGCTGCCCGGAGTGTAGAGCCTCTTTCGGTGGACGGAGTTTCCAACTCATGTTGAGAGGATACTATCGAATCGACAGCGGAAGTATCTCGCTGCGACAGTCCGACCTCAGACAAATATTCTCAGAAGACTCAGGGTCTCCAACTTTGGGAGAGCAAGCTCGCTTCTTCCGAGGAAAATACCGGGCCTGTGCCGAAGGTCCCCTGCTGTCTATTGAGCCCGCTACAACCTCGGAGAAGATGGACCGACAACTCCACTTCTGTACGAGAGATCAGCTGAAGAATACTGTCGATTCCAGGAAAGAAACATGTCGCTGTTGAGTAGGCTCTTTGGAGGGGGAAGGCGTCATCCGTGAAAACGATGAGCTCCGCTGATGCGATACAGAGACTCCGCGAAGTAGAAGAGATGCTTGGCAAAAAGCAGGAGTTCCTCGAGAGGAAGGTCGACAACGAAATAGAAATCGCCAAGAAGAACGGAACCAAAAACAAGAGAGGTAAAACCTGAATCTTCTGAAATCGTCACGTGACCACAACCTTTCGAAGCACCGACACCTAACTTCCCCTTCGTGTCGTCGTCCCAGTGGCCCTAGCTGCTCTTAAACGGAAGAAGCGATACGAGCAGCAGCTAAAACAAATCGACGGCACACTCACTACCATCGAATACCAGCGAGGGGCTCTCGAAGACGCAAACAGCAATACGACGGTTCTCAAAGCAATGGGAGATGCTGCCAAAGCACTCAAAAGATCGCACGCGGATATGTGAGTTTCCACGAGTTCCTCCAGAGCGCCTATCACCGCCTCCGACATATTCCCCCCAGGGAAATTATTTTCTCATGATTTATCACACCGTCGATGAACTAGAAAAAGCATTTTCTCCTCCTCAGGGACGTCGACAAGGTTCATGATCTCATGGACGACATCCAGGAGCAGCAGGACCTCTCGAAAGAAATCTCGGAGCTCATCTCGAATCCTGCCGCTTTCGGCGCGGAGGTCGACGAGGATGAACTCTTGCAGGAGCTGGAAGAATTGGAAAATGAGCAAGTCCGAGACAAATTACTGGAGGTGCCCTCCTCGGATTCCGTTCCAGAGAACTTACCCTCGGTGCCATCCGAGAGACTCGCAGCGGCTAAGAAAAAGAACGAAGACGAAAGTGAGCTCGCAGGCCTAGCCGAATGGGCGGCGTAGGAATCGCAATCATCTTGATTCGCGACCAACCCGAACGAAAGTGCAACTTAACGCTCAAGTATTTTTACCGTATTGCCAACATTATTCTACGGGCATCTGTGTGATACTTCTTGTGAGACCATCACCGGTAGGTGGCAAGATATTGCTGCCATTCTCTAGTTTCTCCTTATCTACATTGATGACGCTGAGGCGGCTTATTGTGCCGCCGATACGGTTCATTTTTCTACCGAATAGACTCCACGATCGATTCCCCTCCGAGTTACCTGATGCGGGAGAACTCCGGAATATCGGATTTGAGATCGAATCCCTCGTAAAAACAGTTGCGACGATGCAATACTACCCGTACAATCTTAATGAAAACAAACGCCCATGGTAAAATGTTCTATGGATTTATCGTTGAATAAATAGAAAATGAGATGCGGTGATAGACATATTTGTCCTGACGATATCTCGACGCTTATTCGACCTTGTCATCTCTCCTGTGGACGAGCTCTTGAAGCATGGCTTTGACACCGGCCCAGGTCTCTTCACCAGTAGGAATGATGTGGGAGGTGGGGAGCACGAAACCGTAACGACCGTCATCACGGAGTTCCACGGTGTACGAGTAGGGGATCTTGGCGACTCCGTGAGCCCAATCGTCGGAGCCTCCGGATGCGGCGTACAAGAGGTTCGTGGATGACCCGGTGCGGTAGCGGGTACCGTGCACCCGCGTGAGAGCACGGGTCGCCTTGTCGGCGACCTCCATCATTTTGTTGTAGTTCGGAGGAAGGGCATTCGTGTAACCCCAGGGTGTCATCCACATTTGCGAGTAGGCGTGGAAAGTCAAGTAGGCGAGCATGTGTTCACGACGGATGTAGATGAAGTCAGACATTGCGTGCGTTTCGGGTTCAGAGAAGGCAGAAGGACCAGCGTATGTATCCATGGCGCAGTTGGTCGAGGCTCCAGCGGATCCCCATTGGAAACGGAAGTTGCGGTTGGGGTCGACACCGACGCATCCACCAACTCGTCCCAAGAGACCGTTGAGCGAGAAACCGCGTTGAACGGATCGAGTCTTACGCCACATTCGGTTCTGAGGAGACAGGGTTCCCATTAGGAAAAAAATCATCACGACGCTGCGAGTCTGCGGCAGATCGGCTCTCCGCGTACCGTGAAGGAACTACTCAGGTAGCTGTGTTGATACTTACGACTGTCCTAGAATACTCGTATCCGTCGGGGTTGACCATCGGCATAGCGTAAATGGTGAAGTTGTTGAGGATGTTCGTCACGTTGCCGTCTTCCCGGTATCCCTTGAGAAGTTCTTCGACGATGTACATCACGGTCGGGGGAGCAATCCATTCACGAGCGTGCATTCCAGCGTCGAGCCAAATGGACTTCTTCGGATTCGTGGTAGCGGTGGTGATCTACAATGGGACAGAATCATCGTGAATATATTCGTGCAATCGAAAACCGTTCGAATAATGCATACTCCGAAAATCGCGAACCCGGTCGTTTGCCAGTCTTTCCCGTGGAACTCACCTGGAGCACGAAGAGATCCCTCTTCTCGGAGGAAAGTCCGATCTTGTGCTTCTCGACAAGAAGACCCTTCTCTTTGGAATTGTATTTGTAGACTAGCAGATCTAGATGTTTGACAATTTCCCCGTAGCTCCTGTAGTCTAGGAAGAAGCTCTCGTGGTTCCGATCGCTCGGATCATCGGGGTTGGGGCCGTTGGCGGTGCAGTTGCGGATCTCCTGCTCGAGATCGGGGATGAGAACGGCCGACGTGATGTTCCGGGCTTCGATCTCCTTCTCGAATTTCTCCTTTTTCTGGGGTGCGACGTTGATGTCGACGTATTTTCCAGGCTCGGAAGGATGCTTCCAGAAATCGTAGGGAACATCTTGATCCGTCTCGAGAGACGCAATGTACTGCAGCTGAGAGGTGTCTTGAGGCACGAGACGGTACACAGTGTAGCCGTCGAAATGGACCTGCTGTCCATCGACCGTTTCTTCGCGTACTACATTCTCGACTGGCACACTCTCAACTTTCTTGCCGGGAGCATCCTCGGCAACCGAAAGAGCAACGCAAGCTAGAACCACAACCAACCACCGCATTTCGAAAACTGTGAGAGCCCCGAAACGAAGCCAGTCTTATATGAGCGAGCCACGGCTGCGAGGGATCCACGGGCCCGAGTCGTCGTGTTTTAAGCCTCGCCTGCCGCTTTACCCACTTTCGCTTCTTCTGTACAGAAAACCGGACGGCTTTTAATTGACTCGACCTGAGCCAGCCGAGCAGACAGGCGCCGCAAGACATATTGTGGTCGTGTAAGTCGACGAGCTTCCAGCTTCGGAAGAGCACCGGCGCCCACTGCGAGACAATGGTCTCCATCGGATAACAATGGCAATCTGCAAGAGTTTGAGCTCCCCGGACTTTGCTCCCGCATTCATATGCAAGAGAGCTCTGGGCCGATGCGTCGCTCGACCTACTCCTTTGGGAGAGCGCCTTCCTCCGGACACATGAGATACCCCTATAATGAAAGAAAGGAATAGAATTTGTGACGGGTCGCATCTTCCTGTCACAAGAGAATTGCATCTGCGGCAATTTTTCGCTTCGCTATCTGCCGCCGAGCCATCAATTAGTCCTATTGATCATCATCATTTATGCGGACGGCAGCTACGAGCAGGAGATCCAGGGAGGTGAGGAAGAGAAGAGGCTTCTCAGCGAGAACAAGGGATTCGAGGACACGAATTGCATAAATAATTCAAATCTAACGACGAGTATCACCATTCGCTCATCCTGACAGATTGAAACCGTTACTCTTCGACCATGGGCTGAAAGAATCGCGCGCTTCCTCTTCGTCCGTCTGACCGACCGCGGACGCAGATTGATTCCGAAAGGACGCTGAGAACCAAGCGAGAGATTTCGGCTCCGACGCACGGCATATATATATGTTCCTGAAGTTTCCACGGTGAACGCGCGTCGCTGATCGAAACATCTGTTCTCCCTGTCGGTCGGCTCGCCGCCGGCTCGGTCTGTTCAAAGCCTCTGGGAGTTTTATTTATTGTACGCTGTTGCTCCGTCTCAACGGGAAGCGAACCGCGGTTTTTCCGCGATCTGACCCTCTTTTGTTTATCTCGCAGCCACCGTCGTCATTATTTAGATTAGAATTTCTTTCTGCCTTTTGTGAACCCTGTTCTGGATTCTGGCCATGGTGAGAGAGGATCGCGAAGACGACCGAGGAGGAAGTATTCTGCGGTGATCGACGGGCGGTCATCACTCTCGGCTTTTGAAAAAAAATAATTCGCGCTGGACCGAGAATCGAGAGTCGGATACATTCCGGTTTTCTACTTCGCTACAGCTGTCAACCGGTGCAACACGCCCGTCCGGCTCCATTGTGTGGCGGGTCCGCCCGTATTCGTCCACGAGGGACGGCGGCTCATAAAGATCGGTGGATCCGAGCCATCTAGGATTTTCATCGCGACAGAGCAACCATCGGGTCTTTGGCTGGAACCTCTCCCGATACGCAGGTGACCGTTGGGAAGCGATTCCGGAATTCGGACCCTGACTGGATTCATCAGAGGACTTCGAGTGGAGATGAGCGTAATGCTTCCCGTAGAAAAGAGGATCATCCGGGCTTTTCACCAGAGCTTTGGTCGAAAGATTTGAACTAGGTATAGCGCTGATATTGGTTCTCCGATTTATAGGAAGCGAGCGTAGCTAGGGACTCCGTTCGCATTTTAGCCGGCAAATCTGATGAGAATCCGCTCGATTGACACCAGTCGTAGGGATGATTCTGGCGATGCTTGTGCACATGACTGATTTGCCTACCAGATGAGTCTCTCCGATTATCCGCATGCTTCCGTACGTCGAAAGTCGGATTTTGCTCCACAAGTTCTCCGATTCATATTGCCTGGGCGTATCAGTGCGGTCCGTCTCTCTTTGGAGTCGAAGCCTGCGACTTGGGCCTGCTACTTTGGATTCCATCAGGGTTTATCTGAGTGAGGATGAAGTGCATGCGAGCCTCCAAGCTCAAGGGCGTCCTCGATTTCTGGATTTTGCCCTATGAAAGTCCGTTCTCACGTAAGATATTCGACTCCATAACGCTGCTGAAAGAAGAGGTAGAACGCTGTAAAAACCTCGACTTCTTCATCATACACCCCTGCAGCCGATTCAAGTGAGTACGTTGAAGTTCATTCTGGGTCACCTCCTTTTCCGATGCTTTCCGATCCAGATTGGTGCAGCTTCCGATCTCCTAATCGAGTTGAGCCGGCCTATTTCGACAGGACGAATGCTTTTCAGAATCTGTTGGGATCTGGCGGCTGTCATCGTGCTTGCCGTGAACATGATAGTGCTTCCCGTTCAACAAGCTTTCTTCCACCCATACACGCTGAAAATCGGCTGGCTTCTGTTCAATCTGGTTACGACGGTATTTTATCTTATCGATATACTCGTGAACTTTTATTCTGGCGCAGTGATGTCGGACAAGATCTGTATGAGCCGGAGCTTCCTGATGCTGAGATATTTGAAGGGCTGGTTCCTCATCGACTTCCTGGGGGCCGTTCCCTTCGATTTCATACTCAAGATACTAGCTAGATACGAAGGTGATCACGCGATGGCAGCAGTCGCTCGAAGTGCGGGGATACTGAAGATGCTCCGAATGCCGTCTCTGATACGCCAGGTCACAATTTACCAAGACGTCTTCGTAAGTTTATTTTCTCATGAATCCAGGTCTTCGATAGAACGAATACTCCCGCCAATCCCGAGAATCAATGAGGGGCCGAAGTAACAAGAGAAGGGTGATCGGGAATAAATTCCTTATGGATTTTTTTTTCCATATTTAATTCTCTCAGTTCCCTGATTTACTTAATCTATCGCTTGCTTGAGAAACATCTGCCGTGGAGACCAATTCCGATCGCCTCGCCCTCGATCATTGATCTCTGTGATTGAAGCTCAGCTCTTTCATCGCATGCGATGCTCATGAGTCGGCCCATCGAGTCGTCAGGGACGATGCCGCCACTAATTACGACTTTGTTCCGAAATCATGATAATGATGCCTAGGAAGGCAACGGAAGGCACCCAGAACTTCGAAGAGTCAAATTCGAAACCCGCCTCGTCACAAATCGTCTCGAATATCTGCTCACTCTGATTTATTTCGATTTCGCAGTTCAACACAGCTCACCGCGTCCACGTGAAATTAATCAACGTTCTGCTGTCGATGCTGCTTCTCGCACATCTGAATGCGTGTCTCCTGTACTTCGTGCCAATGATCCAGGGCTTTCCCAGAACCTCGTGGGTGGCGAAAAATAATGTTCAGGTTTGTTGTTGGAGAACTATTATTCTCCCGGGAAAAGAGTCAACGATCGATGACCGTAATCACGAGTCGTCGACTCGCTTACAGGACTTGGCGTGGTATGAGCAATACATATGGTCTTTTTTCGGAGCGATCTGTATCATGATAGGGATAGGTTTCGGTAAATCCGAACCCAAAGAAATCCCCGAAGTCATTGTCACTTGTTTCGTCGTGATATCTGGTGCCGTCGGATACGGGCTTCTCCTCGCCAACGGGACCGCTCTAGTCCAGACTCTCAACTATTCCAGAACGTCGCACGAGCAGATTGTAAGAGTTCACTTTTCTGCACAGAGGAATCCCGAGCAACAGTCAGATGAGTGCTTCGGAACGTCGAAACGACGATTGACCCGTAGCTCGCTTTCACAGATGTCAGAGGTGAAGCAGTACAGTCGGTACAAGAAGCTTCCCCTGTCGCTGCAGAAGCGGCTGCGAGATTATTTCGAGAACCGCTTCAAGGGCCAATTCTTCGACGAAGACCGAATAATATCGCAGCTGTCCGAAGTTCTCCGTGAGGTGACTATTCGCCCGAAGAGATTGCCCTGCCATCTCTGTCGAGCTATCCGTCGTTCTGATCCGAGTTCTCCACGGTTTTCAGGATGTTCTCCGGCACAACTGCAGAGCTCTTGTCTGTAAAGTTCCTTTCTTCGCCGATGCCGAGCCGCATGTCGTCGCAGACGTGGTCAGTCGGCTCCGCAGCGAGTTCTATCAGCCCGGCGATGTCATTATCGCAAGCGGTACGGTGGGGAGCCGGATGTTTTTCCTGCAGTCAGGAAACGTCTTAGTGAGACTGAAGGACGGGACCGTGGTCGCTCAGTTGAAAGACGGCTCATATTTCGGAGGTAGGCTGTTTGATCAGGACATATCCGATCCGTGTGGTCGAGTGCGCAGAGAGACCGGCATACTGATCGACGATTGGGGAATTCCACAGAAATGTGCCTGTTGAGTCAGGAAACGCGCAATGCTTCAGTCGTGGCCGAAGCGTACTGCATGCTCTATTCGTTAGCGACCGAAAACTTCAACGAGATACTTCAGAAGTACCCTTTTCTCCGGCAAAGCATGGAACGAATCGCGAGACTACGCTCTATCCAGAACCAAGTGACCCAAGCAGAGAGAAGTGGAATCGAGATCCACCGGTTCTAGTCTGGCGCTATGCAACTCGGACTCCAAGCCCACGGCCCTGCCTCGTCCTCTCGGGAATGAATAATATGCGTGTCGATAAGTTGTCGATCACATTACAGTGAAGTCCCGGTTAGGGAACGCCTCGGACAATGAGCGTTCACGCTACGAACCTTCTCAAATTGAAACCATTGACCCGCATCCCGAACTGGTTCGACCCGTCTAACGGCTCCCCTCATATTCCTGGAGGACATCGAAGCGGATCCCGAAATTCCTGAGGTATCCGGATCCTCAGATTTTATTCTCTTGGAAGCGCGTCGGTGTTCAGCAATCTAAATGCACGAGTGGAAGTAGTAATGATGACATGCGGCAAAACGTTTGAATGGAACGCGATTGCCGCATTGTCTCGAAAGCATTCTAAGATCGAGGGAGCTGCCAGCGACCTGCTCCGATCAGATTTTTTCAAAAGCTCGACTCAATGAATTCGGTGTATTGTAGGCCATTATCTTCGTGAACACAAGGCTTGGAGCTTTCATGAAATAGAAATTCTTGAGCACCACGCATTCCCTGGAACGGCTTGCAAGGGGACATCTCGTGACTCTTTGGACCCAATGTCAATCATTACGGTGCCCTTCAGCGAATTTTTCGATGAGTGAATTTTTTCACTGAACCGGTCAAGTTCTTCAACCGGGACCCCACTGTGTACGGCACCCCGCCCCTGGCTTCGTGGAACGGGGGCTCGATGGTGCCCGGCGGCGGTCCATATTTCGGACACTGTCTCCCCGGATAGCTCGTCAGAAGATCGGATTAGCCGATGTAGGTAACCTTCCGGAATGATCTACATTTCAGTCAGTGGAGACTGCTTGTTCGTTTTCTCGCTTCAACATTAGCTCGGTATCCAACTGTGAGATTGTGACTGTAATACCACGACGAAGTAAGGAGATAATTCGATCCGTTTCGCTCCGGTCACGAACGAGAGATGTTGTTTGGTGAGATAGATGAGGTCGAGCGGAAAAAGGTCCAAACTTCGAGTGGAATGAATGCAAACGATTGAGTTTATTTGTCGCTGTCCTTGTTGTTCTTCCTTAAATGCATTTGGTGTCGATTATTGGAATGGGAGAGTGTTCTTCCAAAAAACTCCACTCATTCAAAGTAAGGTTTCCGGGTCTCTCCGCACCGGAGCCCGCGGAAATCCTCAACTCTCGTCGTATCACAAGCAAAGATGTAAAGCTTCGTTCACCGGAAAAAAAACCGATCTGTCATGAGGTCGGCGGAGGGAAATTGTTCATAGGTCTATCGGGAACCCTATAGACGTTCATAAAGGCAGAATGAGGACCTGAAAGTTTTTTGCTATCTTTTCACAAACGAGATTCCGTGAGGCGCGCTCACCGGCAAGATCTCAAATCACGGGAAGGAAGATCGATGCGTTATCTGGAATACTGAGGATGAGCCCCCGCAACGTATCTTGCCGTCGTAGGAACGAGAAGCACAGAGCTTGGAGAGTGCCGCCGACTACTCTTTCGGCGGTTCTTCGTCGTAGTCTCGCGTCACGTTGCACTCGCCGTAGAGTCGTTCGAGCATTGAGATCACTTGGTCTTGAATGAAATTGACATCATCTTTTGGACAGTAGTCGTCGGTGCTGCTCCTTGAGATCGTCACGACCTTCGGTTTCTCGGGTAACTTGCCGAGGAACGCCTCCATCTCAGCGATCATTTGTAGAATTTCTTCGCGGCTGCTGACGTGATGCGGCAGCATAGATCGCGAATCCATGGTGCATCCCGCATCGTGAATGAGTTCGGGGGTGAGGACATAGTCGTGATTCGGAGGATTTTTATCGAGATCCTGGATGAGCTCAGCGGCCAGCTGCTCCGTTTCTGAATCCTCAGAATCGGCGTGATCGCCTTGAGAATTTGAATTGTGTAGGTTCGCTAGAAATATGATGAAAAGGTCATCGAGTTGATTGCGTCGCTTTTGGGACAATTCCTTGAGACGCTCGGGACAGATGTCTTGAGGAATCTCAGGGAAATCGTATAATTTCCGAATGATGCGCAGTTGCTCTTCTGAGAAAATCTCCTGGAACGGATTCTTCGTGGAGAAATAATCCAAGTCGATGTCGAGTATCCACGAAGCGCTCCAGTTCTCCTGACCGCAGTCGTCCCCGGCTCCTTCGCACTTGCGTTCGATCTTCGTCATATCGGCGTCGGATACTTTCGTCACGTATAGACTGCAATCCTTCATGTTGCTCAGATGTTCCTCTTGAGCCCACAAGCATTCCGAGACGAAATACTCCTCCGGGAGAGTCACTTTCACTTCATTGAAATCCTTGCCTACTTGAAAACGATAAATACCGTCTTTGATCTGGTCCGACCAAGCGGGACGAACCCAAACGACATTGTTCACGTGTCCCGCGTACACTAGGGGCAGGATCCAGCTTTCGATGTTCACATTGTCGTAAACATATTCCTTCTCGAAAATGCGGTCCGGATCGAATGGACGTGGGAAACAGAGATCGGGATGAGAGTCGAAATGGATCATGGCATTCGTTTCGAACTTGAGTTTTTTTCGAGCGATCTGTCGGTGGATATATTGCACGGCGTGATGATGATATTCTACGACATAGACGGGAAGACATTTGGTGTTCTTCGCGGGAGTTGTTCCCATGGCCGAATATATTTGGTGGTCGACCGGTGCATCCGGGGGTGCTCCAGTGACAGCTAATTGGTCAACGTCCACTTCATCGATGAGGTCGCAGTCACTCATTGCCTGTAAGAGGTCTCAGTCGGGTCATTTGTGGAAAATAATTTCACTCATGGAGGTATATAGCTCAATATGGAACTTCCGTGATTTCGAGCACGTCCACTGGCAGGATGTGGGGGAAAGTTTCGCATGAATCGGGAAGGTCAGCTTGCAACTGCGATCGAGTCGCTTATGCGCTCTCGGATCATTTCGACTCTGGATCGGCCTCGACCAGTACGTGTGACTGAAGCGTTGCGTGACGTGACACAGCCTGGACGGGAATGCACATCAGGCATTTCAATACCATCATTATTCGAAATGTCGAGTAATGGCGTCATTCGATTCACTAATACCGTACGTCTCTCTTGCGTATACTCCATAGTCCGCTCGGAGTATAACGTGCAGGTCACGCTTCAGCTCCACCGGTAAACTAATTCACTGTGGTCGGACAGAAACTGCCCAGGCGACCTCGCGCCGCCCTGGAAAACAGCGGGCTCTCTGGAAGGCTACGTGACCACATTCTGGTGATTAACACCGACGGGTACAACTTGGCCTATGTTCCGTTGGGACGAAAGTGAACCGAAATGAAGTGGCCTCAGGGACTTGGAAAAAGGAAATTGTGGAAGACCTCGTCAACGTGGAACCTGCTCATACAATCATTTTGGAGCGAGGAGAGGCGCGTCTCGCACGCGAAAGTTCCCCATCAGATCATCTAGAATCTAGATCTTCCCGAGAGAATTTGGAATAAAATCCGTATTCCTCTGCATCGTCGGCAACCCAGATCGGAAGACTTGTTGTCCCCATGCTCGCTTGGATCGGAAGAATGACGAACAGCTCCGAGGGTCAATGACACTCGATTCCATTTCGAATGCCATTGTGTGACACTCCGGAGAGTGGATGTCAAGGGTTCAAACGTCGCCCTCACTGTAAATGGATACACGGCGCGCAACATATACTTATGGAATCTCCGGTCAGCTCCGGGGGACATTTTTTGAAGAGACCTCCCCATTGGTCCGCAAGTACCGGCACAAACACAAAAGCTCCCGATGAGGCTCGCTACGCGTTCCAAGTGCAGACGAATCTCTATTTGTTCCCTAAAGAGGTTGAGATTCCATGAGAAGCTCGATGGAGCAGATGTCAAGCTCTGCAAACTTCTCAGAACTTCGATCAGGAAGACTTTCGGGGAGAGCCACAGTTTTCAGAGCATCTGGAGCTGACAGTGCTCGCTCTGAGACTTCGGCGTAAGTTTCCGATCACGTAGGCCACCATTACGGTGACGAAGCAAAATAGCTCACCTGATCGAGTACGGCAGAAACCAAGCGACAGACACGAAACTTGAGAGACTGGCTTCAGGTGAGCTCAGCCGTAGACTCCTCTATTGTTGTGGAAGAATAGCGTCCTCTCCACTCTGAGAAGCCTTGACGGAGCGCGGCAAAATTCGAAAAATGCGACCCTGGCACGACGGATAACACCCTTGTTGGGGGGAACAGAAATACGAGATACTTCGACGAAGAGAATCGTTCGGCAATCCACGCCAGGATGTGCTCGCGCTCCGTTCGAATTTGAGCAGAGACGATTCGGGTGAGACCCACGGGACACTCTTGCGAGCTTCGGAAGCAGGCTCGATATTTAGGATAGCTGTGCGCCGTCGGGGGATATTCTTAGATCTCGCGAAGCGAGAGTCGAGTGAAGTCGGATCCGACAGGGCCCCCAATACCGCTCGAAGTTCGCTTGCGCTGACATTTGGTCGCGCTCTGGGTTGACCAGCAATGAGCAGGGATAACCGCAGTTTTTCCCTCGTATGCCTGAATGACCGTCAATGCTATGTTCGCGATCATGCACGGTCAATTTTGGGGAACATTTCCGGAATCTCGAATCTCGCGGCTGTAGCTGGTCTCCGGAAATTCCGGTAGTCGATGTCGTAGTGGTGAGAGATGGCTGATAACGATGCACGCCGAGCCGGAGGCCCTGATGCGGTAAATCCCTCCCGAGAGCCCGAGCCATGTTGACTGACCATGGAGGTAAGCGATGAGTTTTGATGTCTCCATACTGGATTGTGATCGACATTGCTGAGATTCTGACACTACGACCTATGCCCGATCTTAACTCTTCGTACCGAGCCAGGTAGAGCCTGAAAACGAATTTTTTCCCCTGCAGATTATACTGCATGGGGTATTTGTATAAAGAATGGTAGCGGGACCTCTTGCGTCCCTCGCAAACTCGCCGGCAAGGAATGTGTGGTCGATGCCGAGTGCAACTGGGCGGGCTTCACGGTGGCCTGCATACATGGGATCTGTCAGTGCAAAGCCGGATACAGGTGGGTTTCATCGGAGCGCTCCACTCTTACGCCTGTACTGTCTCTAGGGAGACTTTTTCCGACCCTCTAACAGAAACGACCCATGTTCTCAGCATGAATACGAGGGGGTTCTGTGCCCCTGCGACGCACGCATTCTCCTTGAACATCGACCAGATCTTGCTCTACATTGTGATCGGCGCGTTGATCGTGGCATTCTTAGCCGTGCTCTGCATTGCGATGGTGAACCATAAGAACAAAGGAGAGCTGAAAACTCCTGAGCTTTCGTACCGTGACAGATATCACACAGACGACTTCTGTGAGTACAACGAAACTCTCGATGAGATTCTGACATCGTCACTCAAAGAGGGTGACAAAAGGAAGCGTCTAAAAATCGAGACTCAGCAAAAGAAAGCAGCGTCGAAACCTCGCAGCTCGAAGTTCCGACTTCGACCATCGAGTCGGAAAGTTGTCTCTCTCCGGAGTGACACCAGCAAGACTCGTTGAGAAATTGATCGGAAACTCTCGTTCTCCAAGAAGAACTCTTGCGTACGGAATTCGAAAGTATTTCTTTCATCGGCCTGTTCTCTGACGAAGCTGCGAGGAAAGGACATGCCATTGAGTTGGAATCTAGATTCAGTTTTATTAGGTCAATTTATATAACGCAACTTTCTCTTTTCTATGACAAGAATTTTAGTGGCTCACATTCGATGCTATATAGTCTGTACATGCAAAACTGTAGAGGGACTTGAGCGTACATTGTGGGAGGGAAATCGCACGTAAATCTATGCGGCTTAACTTTCTCATTCAATCGTTGGCACGGAACATACGCTGCGTCTGTGCAGTTGGGATTGAGAACAGGAAACGAGGACAGTACATAAGAGGTGCTCCGATGCGGACCCTCATAGCCACCTTCCTGACTGAGGGCGGGAGACATAGTTTTTTTGAAGCCGTGAGATACATGATTACAGTTTCCTTGAAAATATTCGCCTCGGCAGTCCGAACACCCTTCGTCCTTGGCTAGATTCTTTACAAAAAGCTACGAAGTTTTCCGCAAAACCCTGGCACCGATGTGCTCCTCGAAGATCAATTGTCCCTTCATTCGACCAATATACGCCGTTCATTCGGATAATACAGACGCGTATGTATTGCACCGTCCCTGTTAAAGCAATCGTACAACTCCTCAACCGACCGAGGAATCGACTCATTCAAGGTCAAAGCGTTCGAAAATTCAGTCGTTCAGTCACTCATATCGGGAAGCCCGAACCCACGGAGGGAACGCTCCTTACGCCTTAATTATCGAAAACACACCGCTCATTCTCGCAATCTTACGCTAACTAAGTAACCTATCCACCAAGACCTATCTAGCGGTTCAGAATTTCTCCAAAATACTCTTGTGACATATCGAAGAAGAGAGGCTGAGTTAGGCCTCCGATTGGAACGGGTGGTCACGTTTCAGAAGAAAAATGGTCCGTTCCTCTCCCGGTGGCATCCCTGATGGGTGATGCGTGTCTAGGCGGAAAGATTCATCGAAATTATCCGAAAATACTATCGGATCGACATTTCCTTCATCGTAAAGAAGAAAGCGAAAAGTGCGACTGTACACGGAGACGGCATGCTCCCAAACCGATGGAAACGAAGAACCCGAATTGGAATACCAGAGGAAATTTCCGAAACATGATTGAGCTGATGCTCCCTCTGTTGTGGGTGCTCACACTGAGAATTCACTCGAGGTCCTCAGCTCGAAAAGCCTCTGCCTGCCACCGATAGCGTGAACCAATCGATATGTGGTTTACTTAGATCGAGTTTGTCCAGAAAAATATAAACACTGCCGATCATCTCATTGCCCTGTACTCTGTCATGATCCCAGACGGACACTTCCAGGAATCGAGTTCGCAACGTCTCGTAAGGATAGTGATATGACAGGAGAGCCATGAAGGTTGGATGCTTGTTTCGGTTGACGACCCTCGTTTTCTTTTTGGTCTGTTTCTCCGGATCGGGCATCAGATAGGTCTTAACGTAGGCGTCGGGAGCCGGCTTGCGATCGCACCGCAAGTTCTCAGCGTGCATCACCATAATCGACAATCGCTGATTGGCGAATGTCAAATCGAGTTTTATCCGACCTGCGTTGCCTTTGTCGTAGAGGCCGCTCGGACCCGCTATGTGCAGATCGTTGTGGATCCGATGCTCTTCCTCCAGGGTCTCCTGATCCCGGTAGAGTGGGTGGAAGAAGGTGTAGACGAGATCGCAATGCGCAATCTCTTCTGCCATGTTTTGCAACTCTCGTAGAAAGTTGACCAATTCTGCTTTGCGTTTCTCCGCAACGTCCGCCGTGTTGCTCCGTCCGATCAGAGATCCCTTGGTCAGTGGTGGGAACGGTGCATTCGGGAACATCCTGCTGAGTTTGTTGTGCAATTCCATGAATTCGTCGTGCGTCCGATACACTCGATTGTCGACCAGGTCCTTCTCACGTCTCAACAGAATTACGAAGACGTAATGTTTCTCGGGAATATGCTTCTTCTGCGAGCCGATTATCTTGTAGTACAACAGTCGGCCGTCGGTCTTTTTCGAATGAACTTTCGGGGCGAAGTTCAGCGTCGGCGTGTCGTTGTGATCGCCCGTGAAACGCATTTGCGCCACGTTGTGAATGAAGAAGTTCATCTGCGTCGACATGGAGCTCGATGCGTCCCTGACTAGCTGGGTGAAGGCCACCGAGGCCTCGGCCTGGGTTTTCCCTAACATCAAAGCTTTTTGAACAAACTGCACCGCATCCTCGTTCAGGCCGGGGATGCCTGACGAGACCATCAGTCCGAACAGCGTTATCAGCACGTTGCTGCTCGCTCGGAGGACGTTGAACGCTTCGCAGCATCTCTCTACGAAGACCTGAAAGTTTTTCGAGGGTTTATCACCGCCGTTGATGACGTACACCATGTCGCTGGTGAGCACGAACGGCACCCGGTCTCGTTTGATGCTTCCAAACATTTGCGAATCCCCTAGGAATTTCCCGAAATCAATATGAAACATGTGGCCGGATGGTCTCAGCATGATGTTGTCGTTGTGTCGATCACAGATGCCCAGAACGTAGGTCGCAACGCAGTAGCCGGCACAGCTGAGACTGAAGTTTTCGACCGCCCGTTGGTATTCGACTTCGCTCCCGTTGTGTTTTTTCAGCCATTCGGCGATGGGTTTGTCACGGAACGATCCGGTGAGACCGTATTCGGTTTGGATCTTCCGCAGGGTTTCCGCCTCTGACACCACCTCGACCATGCCCTCGTTTTTACCCGTGGCAACGCACTCGAACGTAATGATTCGCAGGTCTAAACCTTCTTTCAGCCACAGTTTGTCCATGATCCGAATCATCTGCAGGACAAGCATGTCCTGACGGAGATCGTCGCCAACTTTGAAGATGACCTCATGCGCTTCTGACGTCGGGTCCATATTGCGGAAGCACACTTTCAGGGGCAGGGTGTTCGACGTGAAGTAGGAACAGTTCTTCACATCGATGCCCGCGACTTCGAGGCAGGGGTTCAGGGGTAGACAGAGCGTCCCGCCCTCCTCCTCGAGTTCCTCGTTGACAACCCGTATACTGCTCATCAGACTGCTGATCCTGTCGTTTTCCCGCGATTTTTTCAGCATATCTGCCGAACATCGAAGACCCCTCAACAGTCTGTCCTGGGCCTTAATTAGATTGCTAAATGCACTACCAGCTATGATTCGCAAGGCGGCCATCATCATGCGGACCCGGCGCTTGCTCAAAACGTTTGCTTCGTTTTGCCTGAGCAACCAGTACATCTGGTGAGCCACTCTCGTGGACGTGAGCGCCCTCTCAAGAAGGAACCAGGTGACTGGCGAATCCTCCCAGGCCTCGAAGCGAAGAGCCTGGACCAGCTGCGGAAGATGATCACACAGCTCGTCCGAGCCCACGTACTTTATCCAGCTGACTGCGACTCGACGAACTTCGCTATCAGGAAATTGTGGTAGGAGCAGTGTGAGCGCCGAGATGTACGACGACGGAACCCATTCTCGGAGGATAGCGTAGATGTCCTTAAGGTAAATCCAAGACCATGTGTCGCGGGAAAGCAGAACTTTCGGTAGAAGATGTGGTATCTTTCGCACGAAAAGACGGCGATCCCAGAAGAATTTCTTGTCCGCCTCCGTGGCGGGAATACTGCACAGGGGATCGCAGTCTAGCATCTCTCGGAGACGTCGTTCCTCGGCTTGATTCAGTTCGACTTCTACTTTCGGCGCTTTCTCGTGACACACCTGGAAATACGCAAGTTAGTTGAAATCTCGGTATCGACGGTGGGAACGGTGGGATACTTCTTCGAGATGTCGGACTTCCTCCGTCGAGCTCAAGATGGAGGGAATGAGCGATCGTAGGCTCACGTACTTTTGGGAAGAATACGATGTGGTCGAATTCCGTGAAATGCATTCCCAGCAGCGGAGCTGCGGGAGAGTCGTTGCAGCAAGTGGGACCGCTCATCTGGTCCACCTCAGGGTCCCAGAAGGGACATAATTTGGTTCCTTGAATAAGTTCCCTCTTCGACGAGAACAAATTGAGGGCGAACCAGCCGAGCGGCATCCGCTGATTCGCGTCTTCTCTATTGATTCCATACAACGTCACGTAAATAGCAGATTCTCTGGGAAGGAGGCGCATCGGTATACTCAATTCCAAGAAGTCATCGAAGTCGATCTTCTTGAAAATTCCCAAGGCCTCGCGACCGTTTTGAGTTTCCACCTAGAACCGAGAGGGAGGGGAATTAATTTTTTAGCTGTTCCGACGTGGGATTTATCTATTGACTCATACGTCGCATTGACGTCTAATTGTCGTTTGACCTAACTCCGAGCTTCCTGACCCCGAGCGGTCCATGAATACGCGTTCTGACCTGATGAATGATTCTCCAGCCGTAGATGAGTTCACACTTCAACACGAAGCGATCGTGTTCAACCAACCACTCGGCCTTCGGTTGACAAACGCTCCCGACTCGGAAGAGAACAGTGTCTCCGAAATGAGTGATCTCTTTCTTCGGCAGTTTCGCGGGACTCGGTCGGGGTGAATCGCTGACAACCACGAAGTCGACCGGGAACGTTTCGGAATAGATTTCCAGCAGCTGCTGGAGGCTCTTCTGGATCTGGATGAGTTGGTAGGAAACGACCTCGCGCCTTCGTTCCATTTCAATCTTGTCGGGGACGTCTCCTTCACACAACCTTTCGAGACCCTCGATAGCTTGGAGAATTTCAGGAGTCTCGACTCGAGAGAGCCGCGCGCAGACGGCCTTCACTGCCTGACTCACTCCGCTTGTCCGAACCGTTCCCGATTGCTGTTGCAGCAGCCGAAGCGCTTCGTTGCGGAAGGTTTCCATGTATACTTTGATATCGTGCAATTTCACCTGGGAACGAAGAAGAATACCGTCAGGAGGAGACACACCGGTAGGCCGAATGACACTTCTCTGCGGTCTCCACGGCATGACGACTCGCGAAACCCTCGGAGCCGGCGGTGGACCCGACACACGGCTGCTCGGCCGCTGCTGCTTTTCATCTCCCTGCTCAGTAAGCGTCGAATAAACATCCGGAAGCGGATACCCCCGGTATTCGCGCATTATTGGAGAATCATTGCCCAAGATGGGCTCCCCTTCCGATAAGCTTTTCCCCCGCGCTCGGAAGGAAACGGAAGAAGGGATTGTATGCTACCGACCGACATCATCGATAGCATAATCTCGTACGTCTGCTATTTTTGCACTCACGTTGGTGTCGGATGGCGACAGTTCGCAGCTCTTGACATCCAGGAAATCGGCGTCATCTTTGAGCACCCGTTGCCACGGTCGACGGAGATCCTCGATCTTCACCAGCGTCAGGCAGATCGGTTTGTCGAACTTCACACACCAATGGGAGTACTCGTATTCGCGCACCATCGAGTCGGCCGTGAGGTATTCAGCTCGACCTTTGACCTTGAGAACGTAATTATCCATGTTCGTGTCGTCCAGGGTCGCCGAGCACACCACCTGCGATATGACATGTTGAATTGTTGTCGATACGTCGCAGTTGAAGCAGAAGGGGCTTTCACAGAGCGGGGTGTAGATCTCCATTCGAACACTCATCGGTTCCTGCCACCGAGTATCCAGCGTCGGGGAGACGATAAGCCCTGGAAAATCATTGTGAAAGTCTTAGGACTCCTGACGGCAGCTAGAGTGATCTACGTTTCTCGATTCATTCGCTCACACGCTCGGCGTCGTTCGTGTCGACGTTCACTCGGATCGCGGATAAATGGACGGTAAAGGAACGCACGGTAACTAACCCGCATTTGTGAGGTGGTCATCGTGAGTGAACTCGGATCTCAGCTGTTTGCACTTGCTCCAAAACACTTCGACATCGGGATTGGCGGATCGTTGGCGCTCTTCCACTCGGAAACCTTCAAGGAACTTCAGACGCTCTTCGCTAAACTTCGCGATGACTTCCGACACCGATCCTGGCGACGACGCCTCACTCGAACGTCGTCGTTCATCGGCGCTATCGGTGCTTGACTGCGTTCTCGTTTGTTCCGGATCGATTACGATGGGCGGAGATGGTACTTCTTTCTTGCGGAGGCTTTCGCGTTCCGCGGGCACGGGCCGTTCCTTCGGTAGAGGTCTGTAAAACATTATTTCCCTTTTCAAGAGAATCGAAACCGGAGGAGAAGAGCGGTCACATGCCCCTGCGCGAATGTCGATCAAAAGTTCGGCGTCAACACTTCCGCTGCGATCTTTCATCGAAAGCAGCGAGCCGCGGATTCGCTCTAAACTTAGTTCGATCAGAACGTCGCTGTCTTTCCCAGACTCCTTTGAGTGGCTGGAGCTAGCGGACGGCCGGACGGGCAAGCGGCCGCGGCGAGAGTTTCCAGAAAGAGTTTTCCTAGCTTCGATGCTCCGCTGTTGGCTCACCTGTCAACGTTGCTCTCACTTTGTGGAGGTAAGTTCTGTCCTTTAGGTGGCGGTGTACAATTCGCTCTCAACGGATCAAATAGATCCAGCACGTTGCCGGTCCCTCGCAGAGAGTCCAGGTCTAGGTCTATGAGATCCGAGGAACGTTTTTTCTGTGACGGAGCTCCCGTGACACGAGCGAGCGTAACTGCCGAGAGACGATGGTCGTTGAAGAATCCATTATTTTTCGAAGCGGTGGATGGCATGGAGACGCCTGGAAAAACAGAAATTTCAACGATACGTAGTGTCGAGTGTGGAACTCCGATGGAATATGTACGGAAGAACATTCACTGGAATGGACTGGTCCGTTTCCGCTCGCGACGCGGTCGCTCGAAACGGAACTCCTGCGGACGGGAATCGAGCGGACGCTCCGACTAACTCGCAAACGCGCTCACGAGGCTCAAATGCACCCATTCAGGATTGCGTCGCGGGGAATTTCACGGTGCGAAATCTCGCTGCGGAAAATTGAAAATCGGAACAATCGGATCCGTACAGCGCAGGGGATCACCACTCACTTCGTGGCAAAGCATGACTCGCCGACTGCACGAACGCCGACCAAGGGTCTGAAGTCAAGTACACGATAGAGTTCGCCGGAGAATCCCAGCTGATCAGATCAGGCTCCATCGAGCTGCGTATCGCTGCAATTCACTGCGATGGATCTCTGACCACTTCCACGGATACCAACTCACGCACACACAATCACACGCGGACTATAATTCCTTAAACAGAAAAGCGTCAACCAGAAGACGAGCTTCGGAGAGTATGCGGCACTGCGCGCGATCTCACGGAGACTTTGTCCGACTGTATTTGTCTCCCTGGCAACACACGTCGGCCATTCGGAATCGGAGGCAACGACGATTGGATTCACGGACGGAGTACGTCTACCATAACAGCAGGAGGCGGCATTCGTACAAGATCGAAGGGCGGCGGCTGCGTGAACGAAACACCAACGCCACTGAGTGACATTCTGAGTGACGGCGGAAGCATTCGTAGAACCGCTCTGAACTCTCGTTTCGACGGTCGCCGTAACGGGAAGTCCAACGCCAGCGAGTGACCTTAACGAATGAAGGAGCGGACTGACGGTAAGGAGAGCCGGCTTCCCGTTGGGTCGAGGAGTTCTCGTCCTCGACCCTCTCACCAACGCGGCTGCTTGACAAACACGCCTGACTCTCTATTGGTTTTGTTTATGAGCTCATCACGGTGAGACTCGAGCGGTGCTCGTTCGTGTAAGCGCCCGACAGTGGCCGTTTTTGTGACGCGTACGTCTACGCCGAGGACGGCTCAGACGCAGCGCGTCGTCGTCTCCATCGGCATGTGAGGAAGGAAATCATTGGCGTCAGCTGCGAGATAGACTCGACGTTTACATAATCGTTGTTTCCAGAGTGACGAGTGGAGCCTGCGCCCTTGCGATTCCCGGGCTCACTGAAGGAAACAGACCGAGCCCTCCGTCAAGATGGATGGCTCCATGAAGGGGGAAGGGGGGTTCGATGGTTTCGGCCCATCAATCATGATCATCGTATGTCCACTCGAAGGGAGCGCAGATCTAGGTTTCGATGCGCCTAGATCACGGCGCTAGGTCGCCCAGCGAGCATCAAGCAAAGCGCCTACAATACTTCGTAGAACCCTGCGATAGACATGTCCAATAATTCTCAGACATGGAACAGGAAATTCATCGAAGCGTGAGCGGTCGGGAAAGATAGGTGAGCCGGCCGGGCGGCCGGCCGACTGACCCTCCATGTGAGTGGGCAAGCAAACGGAGGACTGTGCTGGTGAGCTCGAGTGAATGACGAAGCTTTCGGCGGCACAATTTTCGCAGAAACAATCCCTTCGGGGAAATCCCGTTTATTCTACAGGTCCTCCTTCGAGTCACCTTTCAGTCTCCCGCAGCCCATTCTCTTCATTCGTTCAGTAGGATTAGTCGATTTATGCGACGGTACATCGGGCTATCCTCGAGACTCCAGGTCGAAGAGCAGGCGACACACGACGAAGACTCCAATGTTGCTCTCGGAAGTTGACTCACCAGTGGAACAATTCCAGGTTTGGGTGTAAGCTGAAAGATCCGTCTGAACCGACGGTGGGAGGGGGGTGCCGGCGGCGCTTCTCTGGATCGCAACGAAGGGGTCCAGGGGAGCCGGGGGGACGGCTCCCAGCAGGGCCATGGGCCCGGAACCTGAGTGCGAGGTGTGTGAACCGTGCTGATACTGAGCATTCTGTTTCGGAGGGAGAGGGGGCGCGATCGCCGCAGTCGAGCCCAATGAGCCATCTGGAACGATGAATGTGTCGTGTCAGAGAAAAAAAATTCTTAACGTATCTATCCCTGCGAAAAGGGCCGACAAGCAATCGTAGCATCGAAGACGACAGAAAATCCCTAGATGTTCGAAAACATATCGTGGCGTCGAATTAAATCTTCTCGATAGCGTATATTTGTGTAAGGGACTTGGGAGCTTCGAGCATGCGATTCCAGGACAGGAAAGAGAGCGAGCCCGGACGCTTCGGACAGCTGCAGTCAAGTGTCCCTCGGCCACGAATGTCCCTCTTCGGCAGAAGTGTCGAAAAAGCGCGCTTCTCAGAGCGTCGACGGGCGATGCGGGCCGGTAACGGCACACGAATCCAGCGTGTTTGCATTAAGGATGCGAGAACACGGACGCTCCATCTAAGCGAAAGTCGCTCGATGCCCTAGGACCTAGAGATATCACAAAGGAAAATCCTTCAGGCCCCCATTCCGAACGCGTTCGAGAGAGCGGAGCACGAGACGAAGAGTCTTGAGTTGCATGCGAGCTTGACATTTCCAATGATTGTCTATTCGGGAGAATATCCGCAAGCAACGGTATCATCCGACGGGTAGGTATCGAAAGATGGGCGGATAGAGCCGGAACAGAGAGAATCGGTTTCAGCCGGGCCAGCTCCCCTCCGGTTATCTCTCTCGAGGGGAAGAAGCGATTTCTGAGTAGCAATGGGCAAGCAATTCAATACTCGGTTCTAATGGGGAGGCGAAGAAATGTTCAAAGCACTTACTGAAAACCGAGGCCCCGCTTCTCTGGGCGGTCTGTGCACTTGGTGTCGCCGAGTGTATCGTGTGGAACTGTCCGAACGCTGAAGCTTTTGCAGGAAGCGGAGGTGGTTCCGGATCCATTCTACAGCATCTCTCTGAAAACAGAAATAGAACTCTTCAGTGCTCCCGTCTGTTGCTGACTGCGGTTCCTGTGACAGGAGTTGCTTATCGGCTCTCGTAAGGCATAGAGGTCTGTTTTCTTCCGGATACACACTGGGAGCTGGCGAATAGACATTGTGGCTCTCGAACGGTCTGAGACTCGCCGCCGGCGTCGCCGTGGTCTGTCTCACGGCAGCCATGCTGGACAGCAATCTAAACGATTATGCGGCTGAGCTTTCCGAATGGCCATGTTAATAAAGTCATCGGACGGTAGAGGAGGGAAGGCGAATTCTCAAAACTCGCGGAGAGAAAACTGTTCCGTCAGCGATGCCATCCATGGTCAGGATTTCTGACGGAGAAGTCGGAGAGCCGGCCCGTCACAAAGAGTGTGCCTGTCCGTTACTTCCGAATTCTTCAGTGAGTTTTTCTAATTGAGTCCTCCCCCGAAGAGGTCAGGAATCCTGCAGTCGACGAAGCTGCTTTTCTGATGAGTTGTGAATTCATTGTGTAAGAGTGCGCCGACGACCGGAGGAGACTGCGAGCTCAGGGAGAGCATAATTAGAAATTCCCATTCACGAGGTTCTCGAGAGGGAATTCAATCTAGATCGTCTAAGCGAAACGCAGTCTATCCCGGTCAGTTCAATTGGATACCCATCAGTATGCAAATGAATGGACGACGGATGAATCGTGGATATCCTAGGGAGCGCCAAAATCCCCGAGGGTTGATATTCTCTGAGGGTGAGCACGTGTTACGGTCTCGGGACAGGGTAACGGGACGTTAAATTCATATCTGTGTGATATTGACGATGAATCATCCGTTTCGTAGACGCTTATTCTCGAAGCCCTCCTCCTTGTTGTAGCGCAGGGTTCTCCGTCGATAGCGTGCCCGCGAATGGAGCTTCCCACAAAAGCTCCATTAGCTCTTCCAGGGGGGAGAAATATTCCAAGGAGGAGAACATTTTCTGAGATTTAGAAAGAGACCGAAGTTGGCAGTGTAGACGCAGGTGTTCCCCAATCGAAGCAAAGATGTCGAGGGGAGCGGAGACCGATATCTCGGAAGCTCACCTGAGGGGATGCTGCTTCTCGCGGTTCCGCAACAATGCCCAAAATATCACATGGCTCTTGGAAGGTCTGATGCAGGACTTATTCACTGCTTCGCGAAAACGGTACAAACACGGCGTTCGCTTGGCACAGGACTCCGAGATCGACAAAGCTCTATCCCGCCCACTGGTGGGTGTTTCCCTCCAGGCGAATGGAAACATCGCGATCGAAGCTGCCGGACTCACGAACAAAACGAAATATATGCGAGGAAGGACGAACGTGCTGCATCGGAGAAAACGTCGTCCGAATCGGAGCCCCATTTCGACACATCAGAGATCTCCATCATGACATCCAGCGGGACGCTAATGGACATCCAATACAGACGCGGAGCATTTTTGGACTTTTTCCTCCAATGTTCTCCCAGTCAGCTCAAACGTTTTCAGAGGACGGGAGACGGTTCGTTGCTCCCACCGGATGATTGTGGATGGATCGCAAGGGACAAAACCATTTCCCTCGGAATGATAGCGGAACGCCACTACCTCTACCGCACCGGCACCCAACAGCCACAAGAAAAATCATCAATACCACCAGTTGAACCTCACAAATGTTCCCACTCGACAACCATCACCGACGTTTTGCTTTTTGTCAGGAATTCAATGGAGCCGAAGGATTCACCGATCTTCCGGTGGTTATGGATTCACTGTCGTGAGAAACGAGGCCAACTTGAATTCGCTCTCGACGTTTATGATGCTGAATTTCTGGTCAGCCAGTCCAGCAAGCGATCTTCTTGAGATTTAAGCAGAGCGCAACACTCGAGGGATCCGGTGCAGTCAATTCTTCGCCATTGAAAACCACTCATGTAACTCCGGGACGTCACCGACTGAATGGACGGAATAGGGAAATCCAAGAATCAAGCCCGCTTGAATTTCACTAAGGATGAGCGTGTCGGAGTTACGAACGCAGATCCCTAGGGAAGTCCGGGGCGCTATCGCGGTCAAGTTCTCTAGCGGGAGCCATCCGCGTTCCGTCGACTGGAATCCGATCTGGAGCGGGATCCAGCAATTACTCATCACGTCACTCATCACGAAATATCTGATTCTCGGATAGCTCCACAAGCTGATCCTCCGCTTTGGACGGAAGCGGAGTAGGATTGAGAGTGCTCAGGTTGCGCCTCCCGACGTAAACAAAGGTTGAAACACCTGGTCTTTCCCACGACACAAGCATGAAGAATTGCTCCCAGCTACCCGTCGATTCCGAGTCTCAGAAATCTTACGTTCCGTTCATGCAGAACTCACGTGTCTCCGATAAACGACGGGGCAACTGAGAATAATGAGCGCTTCTCGAATAACGAGGAATTGTCGAGGGCTTGATTGCAACGATGTCCTTGGGCCTCCTCACAGAAAGCAATAACCATCGTGGAAATTGGCCATCTCTCTCGGGATGCACACGACTGGTTCTGGTCAGCTCGCGGCAAGAGAGATCTTCTATAGAAAACGCCTTGCAAGCAGCTGTTACTGATTATTTTAGTCTTTATCGCTCATAGCGATGAGCATCGAGATAACTCGAATCGCTAGTTTCGGAATGCTGGAAACGACGCGCCTCACGTCAGATACCTAGTTCGTTTTCGACCGAACATACTGGAAAGTCTCCTCTTCGGATGCTCGTACGGTGACAGAGCCGACGTCAGACGTCCGATTCTTGGAAATTCTTACTCCGCAACCATTAGACAGCCAAGAGCCTCGATGGGCTCAGTTTTCCTTCAAGCAGAGGAGATCGAAGATTCTCGATTCGATGAGGGGACCGATTCCACGCTTATCTCAGAATCAATGGGGGCCTACCCCACAACACGGTGAAACGGCTCAACCGAGGAGCAGGAATTGTAAACATACCATTCGTAAGCGATATGTTCGATTTAACGCTTGCGGATTAGCGAAACTCGGCGTCGAATCAGCTGACTTCCCTTATCCACGGTAATTCGGTTCACTTGCGCACGTCCATCGACGCCGCCATGCACTTGACCACCGACATCAATATCGGTAGCACTGAAGTTTTTCGTCGCTTCTAGCACTTGCTCTTCGAATGAAGCACAGATCACCACCATGAGCCCTCCTCACACACTGCTCCGCTGCTGCTGGCATCCAATTGCGAAAATATTTGTGTTCCTTCCATCTGAAGTCCGACGACTAGATACACGCAGCGATGAGCGTCTGCGCAGCCTCCGCGCAAGGAAGCCACGGCGCTCGATTTCGATCTGCTGTCATTCCAGGAACGACCTGCCTTCCCTACGATGGCGCTGATACCTTGAAGGCTGCGGAGCATTCATTGCGTTCTCCGCATGATTTCTTGAGCCCCAAGGGACCTTCAATGCCTATGCTGCTTAGTTAGAGCTGTGTGATAACCTTCTCCCGACAGGTGACTTGCTCTCTTTCCGTCTTGGAGCATTGTTTAGCTTTCGCTGTCTTATCCTTCCCGGCGATGATATCAAGGCGAGATCGAGCGTCTCAGTCAGATCGGTTCAGATCCCAGGAACGATAATTCCTCTGACAGCTTTTCCCCAGTCAATATCGAATTTCGCCTGTGGAGCCGTGTTCCACGATGATCTATCATATCCACGGCTCTTCCATGAGCTCTGTCGACGATCTTCATCTCAAGGACCGAATCCATGGAGCGGGATTCTCGAGTTCCTCGGACCTTCCGCATAGTCCCAGCAAATATAGTTTCACGAGGGAGAGCCGCCGATCAGGACCATTCCCTCGGAACGCGGCCTGAATGCCGGGTGAGCGCATGACCCGCGCGCTGCCCGACGAAACGAAAGCTGAGCAATACTTCAATCGCGATGAAATGAATCATCCTCTTCCTTCTTGGAATTATGAAATGGGGATCTTTCGGGATGGAGCGACGTTGCCGGCGCTGCCATCGAGTGCAACGGTTGCCGAGAAACGTGACAAGATCAATAGTCCGGGTAGGAATTTCCCCCCTCGGCTTCCCATGGTGACGATGATCCTGTTTGACACCGACGCCGACAATCTCGGGAGGAACTTTCTAGTGTTTTACCAATTCCCTTACGAATGGCGCTGCGAAACCGCAAGAAGTCGGGCTCTACGGAATCCTTCGCAAGGTTCTCCCTTCTACTTGAAGTTTCGGTCAGCGTCGAGATTCCATACTATGCGCTGGTTCGGTATTTCCTGCTCTGCCGCCCCTCGCTTGCTCCACCTCCTTGGACACCTTTCAAGCCCGTAGAACAGTTCCTCGATATGACACACTCTTGTGCTCCATTAGTCGAATATCTTCTATTTTTCCAGCTCCAGGAGAGCCCCCCTATATTGCCGTTTGGAAACGTTCCTGAGACGTCGTGGAACTCTAGCTCTCTCCCGCGAGGAGCGGCCGCTGTCAAGAAGAGCTGGCGCCGAGTCGTGTCGAGCGACCGGCGAGCGATCTCCCGGCCCACGGCTTCCGACGTCGAGCTCGGTCAGGTGTCCTGAGAATCCGCGCTGCTATTGTGCTCCAGCTCGACACAGATAGAATTTTTTTAGAATGTGTTAAAACAAGCAGAAGTCCTTTGATTGATTCTTCCGCGAAGGAATGCCGCAGATCGTTCATCCCCGGGTCAATGCAGAATTGATGAAGGCCGCTCAAAGGAGCCCGATGAATTGAGTGGATGACATAAACCTTTTCTACGAGGAGATAGGGATCGCTACGAACGGAGCTGGACGAGCAGCCCCCGCAATACCAAAACTATTCGGATGAGCTCTCCACGATTATTCTCCCCTGGGGTTCTCCTGAGTGAGTTCCGGGGACTCAGAATGAAATGAGAAAGACTTTCATGTACAGACATACATACATGCTATCAACAAATTCACAAAATACGGGGAGTGAACACAAAGTAAGGTCTCGAGGAAATTACTCAATTCGAGGGAATATTCATCTCACTCGCGGCCAAGATTCGAAGAAACAATTCGAGGAAAACCATTCTAACGTTTCCCCCGGAGCCTCGGGGACGCGCCACGCAGTTCGGAAAAATGCTTGTGCTATGTGCTGACCGGTTGGACGCGCGAGGATTCGAAAGATTCGACGATCCGTCTCTTTCCCTTGTGGGTGGATGTGCTCCTCACAGCAAACTCATCTGATGAACACCCTCTCGTGAACGACTTGACGAGAACAGTATTGAGGGTTAGAGCAAATAGGGAAAATCGCGAAAGGTGACGAAAATCAACCATCAGGCCGAGCGCTAAGAGCTGAACGATCCGCACGGCCACGAGAAGTCCACCTACAAAACACACTACTCCGGAAGAATCGGAAGTAAAAGTTGTCGCAGGTCTAATCGAAGAAGGCCTGCTGGTGTCTAACATCAGTGATCAACATCAGAATCTCGCTTAAGAGGTTAGTAATGGGTGTAGCTACCCTCCGCAGCTCCCAGGCGAGCCCGTCGGATCCACAGATTTTCCTGATCCGTGAGCATTCCCTCTCATCGAGGAAGAGGCGGCTGTTCCCGTTGACGCGACTCTTGATCGTTGCATTTCCTCTCCTCGTCTCGAGCAATCACCGGTCGGAGAGTGTGTCCTTAGACTCTGGACGGGCTGATCCCTTCTGAGCCCCTGAATCCCGAACGTGTCTATCCTGGTTTCCATGGATTAGGAAAAATCGGTGATAGATCAGACAGGAACCCGCCCTTCTCGATACGATTCTGAGATCAAAGAGGAACCTTTCCCCGCAAACCCAAAGCGTAGAGAATTCCTCAAGGCGACGAGGAACTCTAACTCGATCCGTTTCTCAATCCAACGATCGATCCTCCCGAAAACTGAAAAGAAGGCGTGGTCAATCAAGGATCATCGCATGGATTCATGCGAGCAAGCGCCTGCTCTCTGAGTAGGAATCATTCTCTGCTTTGACGTCGAGTCTTCCCGCGGAACTTGTTTCCGTCTGCCTCCTCTAAGAGGGTCGGACTCAGAGCCCTAGGACTTCCTCCCTCTGGCATTCTGTCAGTCGCGACGGAATCCCTAGATGGTGGGAGAAATATCGAGCATCGATCAGGAACAAGACACCCGGATACTTGATCTCCAATTGAGAATCAATTCCCGATTCTTGAAATCACTATATGCATCCGCATGCCATGACGAATCAAAACTGATTCACCGTAAAAATGACGTGACGGAATTCTCCCGCAACGAGAAACGCGGTGCCATTTTTGGTTCCCCCGTCGGCGGCGCCGGCTCGGCGTGGGTGCCCCCGTGCAAAACCTTACACGCCTCACTGCGACTTAAGCGACCATCGCATCGATTATTTTCGACCATATCATGGAAAATACTTCCGTTGATCGCTCAAAGCTCCACGAGGAACGTATGTTCTGCCGACTCGCGAGCTTTTTCACGTTCCTGACGGCGCGAAAACCCATCGAGCGTCGCCCGTGGCCAGTTCTCACTCCAGACCGTTGTGAGTCATTACTACAGTCACTTCAGACAAGCCAAGCGTCATATGAGGAAATCCTTCGTTCGGTCTGAAAGGCTTTGGAGTTTCGCAAGGACTGACGCGGTTGAGCTGACTGACTCATTCAGCAATCCGAACTAGATATCTAGTATTTCGGGGTTTGCTCTGAATCACCGAACGACAGGAGGATATCGTTTTGCGGACTTGATGGGCATTGTTTCAGCCGAGTTAAGAGAAAAAAAAAGACTCTCTTTTTTCTTGCAGGATGGAGACGGATAAAGTATCGAATGAGTTTGTGAAGCTCACTGTGACAACCGAGGGTTCTGACCTCGGCTGCGAGCGGGCATTCAACAGAAACATCACTGTGGGAGAATTGAAACAACGGCTGGAACTCATCACTGGAGCTGCGTATGATCGTATGAAACTCGAGTTGAGGAACAAGACCTCCCCGAACGATCTCATTGAACTTCTGGCCGAGGATGGGAAATCGCTGAAAGACTACCCATGCATCCAAGACGGACTCTTGCTGCGTGTTGTCGACCCTAGCATGACCAATATTTTTGACGAGACCGACGCCGTGGAGAAGCTCAGTATATCGGATGAACGCTACACTCAAATCAGCAATGTGAGATCATACATGCAGAAATACGGACATCCCAAGTTAATGAACCGGAAAGAGAACGCCGATACTGTGAACGAAAGCGAACGGGTCCCCCAAGAGGATCTGCGGAGTGAGTACATCTTCGCATCAACTCATCGAACACTCTCGTGTCGAGATAGTTTCCCGAGTCGAATGCAGAATCGATCGCCGTTCACTAAAACGTGTTAGCTTGCGCTCGGGAAGTTCTAATGATCTTTCTCTAATCCACAGATTTCGAAGTGGGGAAACGCTGCGAAGTGCAAACCAAAGGCAGTCTTCCTCGGAGAGGGGAAATCAAATACATCGGAGAAATTTGTGTCAAGCCTGGGATTACTTTCATTGGTGTTCAACTGGATGAGCCCCTGGGGAAAAACGATGGCACGGCTGGGAAAGTCCGATACTTCGAGTGCGAACCGAACTACGGAGTTTTCGTGAGACCGACCGACGTGGAGGTGGGGGAATTCCCGGAGTTATCCATCGATGACGAGCTCGACGAAATATAGTTCTGAGACGCACCCTATTCCCCGATAACTTGACGAGCAACACTTGCTTCTGTCGCCGAAATTTCTCTGTGATCATCCATTTTGTCTTCACCATGCCTTCATTGAGAGGTACACGGTGAATGAACAACTTGGACCGGATTCCTGAGCGGGGGCCCTTGGCGAGCCGCGTGGGAATCTGGTCGAAAAAAACTCGGAACCCGGGTACCGATAAGTTATTCCTGCACAGCACGCTTTAAGTGTTCGATGTTCCCGTTTCAAACATTCGATTGATTCGAATTAGCATCGATCAAGCGGATTTGCGAATCCGAAGAAGAAATTAGCAAGCGAACCAGCCCGAGGAGAATGTTTTCTAACCGATTGTCATCGGTGAATAAAGGAATGGCCGCTGTAATTCGTAAATGCTTCATTTATTCCGAGCATACTTCGACTAGCGCGACAGATGCTCTCAGGAGCATCGGAAACATCCGACTTCACGGAAGTCGCCGTTCGAGGTTGGATTGTGACCTGCCGCTGATTCTCATTGACGAGCTCTCTCCATCTGTGTCGATATATGGTGCACATCTCGATTGAGAGTTTAACGATTCGACTTCTGGATTTAGCTTTCCCAAGAAAGCTTCATTAGGAACTAGCCCGGTTACTGTAAAAATCCAGGCCCCGCGGAGAAAAACGAGTCTACAGGATCAAAAATCGTACCATCGAAGAGAAGTAATGGTTCGAGAATGAATTCCACACCGCTGGAATGCGAAATCTTTGGCAAGTAGAAAGAACATCACTATCCTATCCGGCTACACGTCGACTATAAAATGCGTCATCAGCATATATCAGTGTAATGGGCTGAGGCTTCATTGCGATTGAACCCTTGAATAGGTAAGGGATTGTATGTTTGAAAACTTTCACCTTCGATAGATGAGAAGCTTCGATCTGGCGTGTCTATAAATATCTTTGGTCGGAAGCTTCACTTGACTTAGATTGTTGGGAGAAAAATTCGAAGAATTACTATTTCGTTCGTCCGGCGCTACGCTGTTACAAATATCGTGGAACTTGGACAAACGGAGAAGTGTCACAGCCGACAATTATTATTATTATTATTATCGTCTGCGGCCGACAATCACAACTGTTGGGAAGAATCGACAGGAACGGGAACCTCATTCGCCGTCTGAGCATAGCTCGAGTGACACTTTGTCAAGCGGGGATCTAAGGGATTGCTAAGAATTACCGCTCTCCCCGGTGAGTCGGCGCTGCGCACAACCACACAAGGACGAGAAGATGAAGGGAAATTCGACATGCCGAAGAATTCCACGAGATTTTCTACGTAGGTTTCCGACTATAGGCGGGCTGAACACTTTGTCATATATCACCAAAAAACGGGGCTTTTGAAGGCGTCCTTATCGCACGATTTCTGAAGGTGACACTGCAGGAACATGAAACCAGTCTCGTGCCACCAGAGTTTGGCGAGGATCACGAATAGGTGCCAGATCTGATGTGACGCTCCGATGCAGTCCATGGTTCCCGGATACAGGCATTCCGGGAAACGACGAGCAAATATCACGAGCGCAACGCCCGCATGTACAAATACCATGACGACTCGGTGCAGCAGAAATTGAATAATCGGAGATTCTAATCCATTCAGCATCACCCAATGGGCTGTAGGAACCATAGCGAAGAGGACGTATGACGCTATGACTACGTTACGTTGCGGCTCGAACTGCGGTTGACCCATTACGGGGTGGAAGGTGACGAAGTATATAATCGACAAAATGATGATTTCGCAGGTCAAGTAGAAAGTTTGCCAGAACTCGTTGTCATGGAATCCGTAATAAGTGCCTGTGGATCCGAAAGGGAAAAGCTCGGATTACTGCGTGACCGATGATGACGCGCGGCAGCGGATGAATTCCCCAGGAATTTTAGTCACAGAAGAGCTAGAATAAGTTTGAATAGTTGAATGTCGAATGGAATTCGATCACACCTGACATAATAGTTGCGCTGAGAGACATTCCGATGCCGACGACGTCTGTCTTGAGCAATAGGTAATACATCTTTTTGTTCATACACTTGAAAGTATGATATATTGACGACAAGAGCAAAGTGAAACAGTATGTCCCAGTGATCAGAATACACGCCCATGTCTGAAACACGAAAGATTAAGATCGATGTCAGAAACTCGAGCGCCTCAGTGCTTGCTGGTCGGACTTGAAATTCATGAATATCATAATGGATCTCCATCGATTCCGCAATTCTTACATCGCGCGAATTGGCTCCTATAAGAGGTAGTCGGAAGTACACGTCGTATAGGAATATCCCGAGAAGAAAAAAGAATCCTAGAAGATGGGTCCAAATGTTCAGGGTCTCGTTATGCCAATGCCAAATCGACTGAATGCACTCTGATGCAGAACAATGCACGAGGTATCTGCGAAGAGAGACGCGGGATGAATTCAACGATCGAAATCCTCGGTACGGGTCAGGGACGATCGGGAGCCGAGAGTACTCGGCTTCCGAGACCGACTGTGAGGATGGCATCGATAGCGTAGAAATTGCTTTTAAGCTATTTCAGTAACCGACCCGTCTCGTATGAAGTGATTGTTCTGGAGCCACTTAGGAATGTCCTCATAGATCTTCAGACGAGACCCACGGTCTTTTTTCCGAGTTGGACTTAGTTGAGTTGCCGATGTCGCGAAAGGCATTCCCGGCAACGAGATCTGAATTTAAGATAGAGATCATTACCAGAACACTGTCCGATAGCTGCCACACTCGAAGCGAAACTTCACCGAACCTAGGCAAAATCCTTACGGGGAAGCAGCGCAGGGAACTCATGCTTCCCTTGACATCACTCCTCGAAGAAGCATCATTTTCTGACGTCGAACCATCGGACTCGGGTTGTGACTCTGAGGAGTCGGACCGAGCCACCTGCTTCCTGTGAGAGGCCGGTTCCATGTTTCACCCTTGGCTTGATCTTCTCTGAACGCCGATCTGTAGTACGGAGGGAACAGACAGGCTGTTTAGTGATCTCTCCAGACTTCTGGGGGAGTTAGTGCAAGTGAACGTCAAAGAGCGCGAGGCGCGTCAGAGCAATGTTCCCGTCCCTCACACACATGCTGCGAGGTCAGGGAGGCGACATCTAGAGTTACTTACGTCCGGATACCTAGGAGGCCATGTCTGCCGCTCGCCTCCTAAACCCGACACCAGCGTTCGGATGTCGGACCGCAACGTTCTCGGAGGAATCTCGGATGAAACTGATTCCTCTGCGAGTACCTTGGCCGATCTTCGAAAACGTACACTACACCGCCGAGGAGCCTCATAGCTTCCGTAAATGTCCATCGATCGGAGAGCCCAGCTCATTCCTCTCGTGAAGTTTCTGTACGGCTCCGGCGTCTCGTGTGCTTTTCTCCGCCGCCAAGTGGTCGTCGTAGAGATATTGCGCACTGTAGACGGCTCTTTTCGAACGGGAGGGTTTTCGAAGTTCGGTCAGCTGTATCTGTTTACTGCGGCAGTCGGGCGGCAGTCGGCGGAGTGGATGGCGCGCGGGCGCATGGCTTAGCGTCTGCGCTGTTTCGGGGCTCTGACAGAGATCGGCCCCACGTCGAGAAACGCTCCATAGCCCAACCCCAGGTGGGTTCTCCGGTGTGGATCGCGTCTCTTCACGTTGAATCGAGGAGTCTGTATACTCCCGCGCTCTTTCTGGAGACACTCGATCGTCGGAGGGAATTCCGCTGTTTTAGCGTGTACAGTAGAGAGGGGAAAACATGTGGTGAACTTTCGTCGTGTGTCGTGTGGTGGTCACAATAATAATAATAATGTTATTGCTCCTGTCGTCATCTTCGCCGTAATCGCAGCTGCAAGGAGAACGGAGAGTGGAAACAGAGGAATGTGGAAATCTCCCGGAGAACTTCCCTTTGTTCTTGTGCTCCGGTGTTCTTCGTCAATGGAGACCCAGCGGTGAATGGTCAGTGCTGGTCAGACAGGAAAGATGGGTCCCATTATTCTATACAGAGCAGCTGGAAACAGGTGCGCTCTCACCCGCGAATCCTGGATCTTACTCGATTGATCATTTGGCGCGGCTCGAAGGAGATTCATTTGGAGAATTATTGATATGGTCGGGGGCAAGGTTACCTAGAGCGAACGTTCCCCAAACCACCAGGTTTCCACCGGATCTTTTGCCTCCAGAGAATCTCTCCGTGGCAGATTCTTAATTACTAGATGTCGGAAAATTCGCCTTGAACGTAGCGCCGAGAAACCGATCGGAACCTGCGTCGATGTTAAGCTCTCTCCGGATGATTTACGCGAGGTGGCTGGCAGCTGCGTAGATTTGCGCTGGGAACGCGCGCTACGGATTGGAAGCATCTAGTTATATTGCGTGGGATCTTCTGGTTCATCTACGCAATTCTCTTCGTGACTCCGGGAGACGACGTTCTAATATCAAAATCCCATTATGCGAGTCTAACGTAAATGACGTCTCGCGTTCTGTGCTACCAAGTCCGAACGTTCGATTCCTCAAGCCCCATGAGCTCCTTCAGCAATCGCGGCTGGAACCGATTCGCAAGCGCCATTTTCCTCCGGCGATACCAGAACTGCCCGGAGGCTGTACCGCTACATGACTCTATGTCGGCGCCTTCTTGACTTATCCGTGCTAAGAGAAAACATCGCCTCGGACATAGGGGCTCGTTCGAAACGTAGCGGAACGACGACGGTCCGGGACTCCATATCCCGCGGTACCTACTGATACTTCTGATCCCAGCTTTGGTGCAGTCAGAGATGAGAGATAGAGACCGAGCAAAACGCCTGAATCTTCGAGCGTATCAGCGGTGGCGCGTGTCAATGCATACGTGAATAGACATCACAACGTCAGTCACCAAGCATGTGCCTCTGTGGGCGGCTGTCGATGGGATATTTCCGAGGCCTCCGGGAGCTCCGCTGTTCTCGGTCGATTAAATTGGTCGGTGATTGATTGCAATGTTCTCTTTTCAGTCATGTCGGGCGATCCGCCGGAGCGAATCCGGTCATCTTCTCTCGGCAGGAGCAGAAGTTATCGTGCCCGATACTGGGCGTACCTGTTGGACAATTTACAGAAGGCCAAGAACGAGATCTGTGACGTCTGCGAGAAAGATCAGGACATTCTCGCTTGCAAGGAAGTCCTTCTGATTCTCAACAACTACTCCAAGGAATTCCAAGCGCTCATCGATCTTGTGAAACTCAATGATGAGCTCGAGAAGACGCCGGCTCCGAGCAGGTGGGTTTGCGCCTCCATCGACGATCATGAATATCAGTCGTATTATTAGAGCGACTACGTATGGCTCGAATGATATGCGTTGACTGAACTATTGTAGGCCGGCATCGGTGTCCTGGGAGGTGCGGAAGCCGGGGAGCTTGAGTCGTCACTCTCGCGTGTCTCCGATTCCGCCGCGAACTCCCACACCCAAGGAAACCGCAACGATCGGCGTACAGACCGTCGAGGAGAAACCGAAACCGCTCCCGACTCCGGTTCGCCCAAGCAGCGGATTGTCGACCCGAACAGCTCAGAAGGTAATTTTCGTCGTTATCAGCACGATTAATAATTTGATTCCATCGCGTGGCTGCATCCGGTGCATCTCGAACTGAGCATTTATCCTCCGCAGAGCGCGACCTCAACAATTCAGCAACCCAAACCCACCAGTGCCATTCGGTCTTCGAGCCATAAGCCTCCAGTCACTTCCGTGCCGAAAAAACCTTCGACGCTCTCCGTCAGTCAAGTTCGCAAGCCTATGGTCCCTTCCCCGACTTCAACCCTCCGACGGCCACCGCCACCGGTCAAACAGACGACCTCCTCCCTGCTGCGGAGATGCGCGACCACAATGATCAACGGTGAACCCGCGAGGACCTTATCCTCCCAAAAGCCACAGATCGTTCCCAAACTGAGCGAGTCTACCAGTTCACTAAGTAGTTCAACGTCGAGTAAATCGTGGGCCGAAACCGTCAAGGGCGGATCGACGAGAGCTCTGTCGGTGGCCAACAATGGACTTGAGATCAAAGTTGATAACGATGACGAAGGGTGGAAGGTGGTGCACAACCATCGTTTCAAGTCTTCGGTTCTCCGCTCTCCTTCAGTGCCGGAGATCATCCGGAAACGCCCATCCGTTTCTCCAGTGAACGTCCACCAACGGCCGTCTCTGTCTGTTCCGAAAGACGATTCAACTCTGACGAAGTCCTTGCCGACCCTGAATCAGAAATTGGCGGCGCAACGGAATCAAGCTTCGAAACCAATCCTGGAAAGAAGCCATACAACGCTTTCGGCGGTTCAACGTCGAAATAAAGAGAATGAGCCATTGAGCACGAAATTGACACCCAGATCTACTCCCAGCGACAGAAGTCCCACCGCTATTAGAAGCGCGCCCAAACCTGCGACGAGGATATCGCCCACGTCTAGAAATGTTTGTTCGGCTACTGCGACGCCGAACTCACGCGGTTCGATGAATCAAATCAATAATCGAAATCAGCCAAATAAACCCAAGGAAACGGCCGTCGAGAAAGCCAAGAGGGAGAAGCTCTTGCCAAATTCCGCGAAGAAAATTCCCACGGTGAAGACGGTGACTTCGGAAGAGATCAAGGAGATCGTGATCGAATCGAGGCAATCGAAGTCCGAGAGTCCAAAAGATAGGAATTCCGCGTCCTCGAGTATGGTTCTCAGCACGGATTCCATGACTTCGGATGAGAGTCGTGACGACATCCATACGAAGGAGTTGACGCTGCTCATCCCAAGCGCCGAATCAGTGCGTAGCGACTCCGCCAGCGAAGTGAGTCCACGCAGCGTGGACAAGAACGTAACCGCCGACATGTCGGACACCGACCTCTTCACCGACAAACGAATGGCTGCCGCCATATGGATTCACGAACAGGGACTGTCGCTGGCCGATCAAGTGGAGTTTCTGGACCAGATAGAACAGAGGGTTCCGGGTCGCGCTACCAAGGTCCACGAGAAGCTCTCGTCTCCGAGGAAAGGATTCACGGAGGAGACGCTGCGAACACATGAACGACGTCAAGCAAAAGCCCAGGAGCACCGCGAACGTCTCAAGGAAGAGCGAGCCCAGAACTATCGAGAGATACTCCGGAAAGTTGAAGAGCACAAAGTAGCTCTGGAAGAGGAATCCAAATGCAGGCTCCAGAGAGCCAAGGAAAAACAAGACAAGGCCGACAAAAATCGCGAGGAACAACTCCGCAAGAAGGTTCAGAAAGCTCACGACGAGAAGGAGAAAGTCCAGGAGATCGCTTTCATCAATACGATCGAGGCACAGAATAAGCGACACGATATTTTCGAGCGCGAGAAGGAAAGCGACATGAGGATCCAAGAAATTCAGAAGAAGCAACAGCTCAAGTTGGAAGAGAAAGCGGCGCGGGAGGCCGCAGCTGAAGAACGTCGCAAGGCCATGGAGGAGGAATGGCAATTGAAGGTCAACGAGATTCTCGAGAAACGAGCGGACCGCGATCGGAAATTGCAGCAACAACAGCAAGAGAAAGAAGCCAAACGTCAGGCGATCTCAAAGCTGAACGAACTGGTCCGAGAGCGCATCAACGCGCCGGGCTGCACTCCATACGAAACGAAGAAAATGTGCAGCGCTTGCAACGTTCTCATCACGTCCGAGGTTTATCTCTTGAGCCACCTCAAAAGCAGCAAACATCAAGAAGCCATGCTCGGAGATCAAGAGAGTTACGATACACTTTCGGAAGATATTCACTCCTATAGTTTGAAATACATCATCGATGCACCCATTGACGAGAGACACATTGCCGAAACCGAATCGTTGAGGAAGCATCTGCGGGTCATACAGAAGAAACGGTGTCGTAAACTCAAACAGAAAATACAGATGAAAAGCAAGGAATTCGAGAAGCTTAAACAGGTAAGACGCTTACCAAAGATTTCCGTCCTGTCTTGAGTCGTTCGACATCTTATCTGCGAGCTCAGACAAATACTTGGACGAGAGTAACACTGACCGGAATCGGGAATTTCAGCAGAAACCGACCACATCGGAAACGAAGGACTCGAAAACCCTTATCGAGAAACCTTTGCGTGAAATTACGCGAGTCCTCAGCTCAAACAGAGACGTTAAGGGCGTGTGGCCGTCAGAGAGCTGCAACTCCCTGAAACGTCAGCTCGGGGACATGGAGCGCCTACTTTCGAAGTCCACGCCGAAAGATCGCCAGTTGATTTCGGACATTGCCTCTGATGAATGCAGTTCTCTTTTGATCGAGGTAAGTAGCAGAATGCTCTCCCTTAGCCCCTATGAGAGATCCCGCTTAGCGCTCCGAAGACCTCAGAATTATCCAAGGCAGTACTGCTCCGAAGACCTCAGAATCATTCAAGGCAGTACTGCTCCGAAGACCTCAGAATTATCCAAGGCAGTACTGCTCCGAAGACCTCAGAATTATCCGAGGCAGTACTGCTCACGATTATTTTTCTTGTAGATTATCAAACTCTGTCAACGAAGCACCGTTCACATCCCGAGCGTCATTCCCCCGAAATTCATCGGCCAAACGTGTCATCTCATGCAATACAGTTTACGCAACGACGACAACTTTGCTACGGAACTCGTGCAAAGTAACTCTGTTCTCATGATCGTGGAGTGTCTCCACCATGTGCTCAATCTCTTAGTGCCTGATGACAATCCAGCTCCGCCCAAGGCGTCGATCGGCGGTTGCGCTCTCAGCAGTGGGCTGTTGCAACTCTTGCACACGCTCTGTGATCAGCTGTCGGTGACCGAACAGCAGAAGCTATCGGACAACCTCAAGGCGAGGATCATCGACATCTTAAGCTACACCGTCAGCATAGGTGAGCTCCGACGAATCGAAGCGGATCTGAGCTCGAGTCCGATCTCGGACACGTATCCGTGTCTACGCGAACTCTATTCACGATTCTCCCTGCTTCCAGGCGTTGTCGATAAGGTCATGTATTACTTCACCTACATCCAGAAACCCCGCGATAGCGAGCCTCAGGCCGTCGCCGATGTTCTCCTGAACGGGTTGAATTTCGTCACATCGATGGTCCGATTGCTGAAAACTATCAGCGAGAGCGAGGGAGACGTGGAGGGCAAAACGACTTCCTTCGACGCCACGCAGCTCCTCTCAACCCTCAGACGGACTGACGCGATGGGGGTTGTGGCGCTTCTGTACTCGACCCTGCTCTGCCAACACAAGGACGACAATAACACGCCTTGTCGAATGTCGGCGAACCACGTTGAGATCTCGTTGGCTGCGTGTCGTTTCCTCAATCAAGTGGCGAGCGCGAGTCTCACGAGTTTCCAGGAGATCCTCGGACGTGAGGGTATCTCGCTACAGATTCGCCATATCGCCAGCTACCTGCTTTGGTACTGCAGTCACCATACGGGTAGCGGCGAAGAGAAGGAATTACTGCACCAGGTCCTACTGCTCGTTGGGTTCTTCGCCGTCAACAACCGCGACAACCAAAATGTGATCCACACCGGCGGTCAGCCGACCGTCCTTCAGCTTCTCTGCAAGCTACCCTTCGATTATTTCTGTGATAACGAGGTAATTTGAATTTCGCTAAGGCAATCGGGCAGACCTGAGACTTTGACGTGGCGTCTGACGTATTCTCCCATTCGATTCCAGTTACGTGATATCTTCATGCCAACTCTGCTTGCGTGTTGTTGCTTCAATGAGCAAAACACGCTGCTCCTCTGTGAAGAAATTTCGCCCCTCATGCTGTTGACCTACCTCGAAGAAAAGCTCAACGAAAACGAGACCGCGAGCAAAAGCGCTTCGGAAAGTGTTCGGGCCTTCAGTAAACGTTTCCCGGCATCGCTGTGGCCGCGAGCCCTCGAGTTCCTTCGTAAGACCGGCTGAAGCAGCCGGGGGGCAGCGGTCATTTCAGAGTCATTACATATCAGAAGCGGCTCTCGTCGAGCTTGTTGATCTGCGACCGATCCAGAGGTGGAAGCCCCATCGGTCGTTTGGCCAACGTACATTTCATTTGTTAGAAAGCATTTTCCTTAGCGTTGGCTCTTCGTGTTAGAATTGACTATTGTTGTATTCCTGTATTCCTCGGCTTCCTAGGTAGGAATCGTATATATTTCGTTAGGGCACGGAAAGTTTCGAGGACCCTCGAATCTTGAGGAGGATCAGAACGCTTGTGCCAGATTGCATCCCATTACGGGGTCACTGTATAGAAAACTTCGGATCGGCTTCAGGAGTCCATGGAGACGATGACAGAAACTTCGGAGCTCCGGTGGCTCAGCCAGCGAGAATCTTGGTCGAAAGCCACTTGGCAAATCTCCCAACTTAGGAATTCGAATGTCCAGATAGGAGCCTGTAGCCTAAAGAGCGCTGGAGGCCTGACGAGCGAGTCAGCGCACTCCTCGAGGAAGTAAAATTGATCGTCGCTGTACCCGATGTCTTCATTGTTCGTTTCGGGGGACTCCCGACCGGAGGGTCGAATGGCTTTAAAAATCATTATTTCCAAGATTTGCCCGGTTCGAATCCCTGAGAAAGTGGCCAGTAACGAAGCTGCAAGCGGGGCGATCTCGAAAACCTCCACTCCAATATCGGGGTGTATGATGAATCCGGAACGATGAGGGATGCCCATGAGGATTTCGCTTCGCCTCCTCATCTGATATGCGGAGTGCATCGGTGAAGGATTTGTATCGAGCTCGGGTCGAACTTCCCTCGCGACCGCTCTCAATGCTCTCAAATCTCAAGCTCAATGAAAAGTTTGGAGGGGCAGAAATTCCTTGACGAGGCTCTCTTAATCTCCTCAGAGATCCCGAGGTCCCATAGGACCCTAGTCGGAGAGCGCTGTGTTCGGCGGCCCAATGTCGTAGGTCCAAAGTTGGACTGACTGATCAAGACGGTTTGTCCTCATTGCGACCCGCGAAATCCGCTGATGAAACTATTAACCTCAGGTAACACCGCGAAGTTACCCGCCGTCAATATCATTCAAAGGCGCACAATCGGTATAGGGTGCTGAAGAAGGTGTCTCATCCGTCCCATTCTTAATCAAAGCGGTAGAAGAGCGCGAATACTGGTCCATTCACTGTTTTTTCATGAAATTCTATGGAGCTGCCCGACTCGAAGATTGTATTTTTTGGTAAGACAGCGCCCGTGGCCGAATTTCACCATCGTAATCGTGGAGTTCCAAGGCTTCCCGGAGTATTTCAGCTCTTGGGAGGCATCGATGTCTGTCACTCCGAGTCCTAACCTTCAAAGGAATACCGTTGGAGCTCGTCCGGAAACCCGAGGAGACGCAACTCTCACAATTCAAGAAAATTCATTCTCTATGTGAGAACGTTTGAGGATCTGCTTGCCTCCCAGAGGAGCGATCCGCACGGGGCGTGATGCGCTCTTTCCGCCCATGAAAGCATCGAATCGATGGATTTGATCGAGGCCCGGAGACTCCATGAGGACTGTTTTCCGAATGTTTAGTCCAATGAAGCCGGACCGTTCCTATATTTTTTTGCTCGTTCGCATTCGGATGCTTATTATATAAGCATCCATGAAGATAGCAAAATCATCTCCCTGAGATTCTGTCTCCCATTACAGGCGTAGAAAGAGTGCATCTTCCCGCCTTAGGGCCGTTTCGGTTGAAGCTCGCCGCATGAGTACTCGAAGAACTTCAGCGACTGATTCTCGACAGGAGAGAAGTCATCGCTGCCGAAGAGGTCCATCGGGAGGAATGGGTGACGGGACCATGTTCTCGTCTGGGCATATGAGCCGCAAGAACGATATCCATTCGAGAGCACGACTCCCAATGGAATGGAGAGACGGTGACTATCGCAAGAACTCGGCTATTTTCCCGCGCCCACGGCCGTAGATTTCGATTGCTTGGTCGATCGAGGCATTCTGTCCGCAAACGCCTCTTCCCGGAGCCGGGCTGTGCAACGAGCCGAGAAACTGTTGCCATGGGGATCGATGCGAGATTTTTTCGGGCTCCGGGAATCCTTTATGAATTCGATGAAGATCTCACACAGTCGCACAGTCGAGTCCTTCGAATAACCTCGACTTCGCATAATCAGTAATTAGTGAATCAAAAGCCGATAGTCTAGTTTCTGAGCCGATCTGGACATTCATCGAATGACGACCCAGGTTGAGAATGCTGTTTATGTCCTGAGTCGAAAGTGAATTCAGCAGTTCAGCTGAACAATTCCCTCCCCTGTAGGACACAGCTCGAATGTAGTTGGCTATTTTCCGTTGAGATGTGCCGGAGCGACGCGTGACGTGTAGCTTCCACATGTGGCGTCACGCTCGGCTCATCTAAATTCCTTAGGCTCTTCTCCGAGTAAGCTCTGGAGCTTCGTCAATAACTCCTGTGGACGCGGTCATTCCGGCGTCACCCTTCCCCGTAGCAGTGACGGCACCCCTCTTTGCTCCCCTCTTAAATGTTCTTGCTTCGTGTTCCTCAACGGTCGGCTCCCGCACGGCCGCTTCCTTGCCCTCGAACATCAACTCGGTGTTCCCCCCTCCGCAGACTCTTGCTGCACTCAGCCTCAAGTACATTGACCCCTGTCCCTGGAAGTAATCTGCAACTAAATGAAGCGGACCCATAAGCACGGTGACAATGACGTCCCCTCGCTGGTAATATATAACGTGCTCGACCTTGTTGTAACCCCGTCGCTTTCGTCTTCAATATTCCCTTGCGCCATGCCATCTTCTCCTCGATCTTCAAACAATCTTATGTTGTTCCCCTGTACAAGGGTTAAGAATTCGGTCTCTGATCCATCATCCTACAGACCCATAACCCTCACCCCCTCCCTCGCCAAATAATTCGAGCGCTGCATCCTCTTACAGCTTGGCTCACGCATCCCTCGTCACAAATTTCTATCGCCAAACCGGCACGGTTTCAGACCCGGACTCCCTACCGAAGGTTTCCCCACAAACCTCCGTATGAGAGCGTTTCGGGCTTTCTGCATGTCTTTTAGAAAACTTACTGCATTGCGGTATGGGGCAGCTCGGCTGCGTCAACCCTGCAACCTCTCCGAGTCTCCCGAAAATCGGCACTCCGGATTGCCCTCGGCCGACCTCCTCGCTCGCCCATCAGTCACCTTTTCCCTCGACTTCGCATTCTACCCGTCGACAAACTCTACACTTTTCGCAGGGCGTGCTTGACCCGGGCTTTCTATGGTTCCCCCTTGCCCGGACCTTCTTGCCCTCGATGTCCCACGATCAACTCCAACATCCGTAAATATAGAGCCCTAGACTTTCGACCTCCACCATCTCGGTCCTCCCTCGCCAGTTCCTCACCAGTCACGCTGATGGCCCGGGTTTTGAATGCTCTTCCTGATGAAATTTGACAAATCGAGTCTCGCGGTCGTTTCCGCGCGGCATTAAGAAAACTCTCGCTAGCCGCTCCGTGTTCCCCTCTCCTAAAGCCACATCCATGTGTCATATTCACCTAAGTCGTTATATATGTATATGTATTTCACATGCTGTCGAGCCCCCCTAACACGCGTGTCTGCCACAGCGGACATTCCCCAAACAAATATGAATGAATGATTGGAATGAGACAGATGTGGTCGCGCATCTGGATGCTCATGCGACCGTAAGCAGTGAGAAAGTTCGAAGCACTTCCTGAGTCGTTCACATCGGTGTGTTCCTATGGTCTCGACTGCTCCCTTCTTTGGCCTGGACGGCCTCGTCGACTGCTAGATTCGAGAAGCATCGCGAGAGAAAAGACTCCCCGGACACTATGTCGGACAAGGTCATCAGAGAGCGCGATCAGATATGTTTGCGCTATCCGAAGCTCATGATTCTGCTGTCATTTTTCTCCAGGGCTCATTCTGATCATTAATGTGGAGTGCCCGGCTCTCCGAATTCCTAGATTATCGAGAGCTTATGCTGTCGAGTTCTTTTCCGTCCGGTCCGCCGGTTACGTCCTCTCTCGTCCAGTCTGCCGGTAATTCTTCAGGAGATCACGGCCAAACGGCAGCCATGTCCTCTCAGACAGTAATACGTGATGAGAGGACTGAAGAATGGGAGGAGGGGGAGCGAGATGGAGTAATGTCTAATTCTTTATTCGTCTGTCTGTATATACATATACCAGCCATGATTTAACAAATAAATAGTTCCGTTCACGGAGATTTCTCGAAGCCGCATTGCGGACAGCTCAATCGCCGTGTCGAACTCATTTCATTTCTATTCCACCATTGAAGGCGCATTCCTAATCAAAATTAGTATTTCATTCTGCCATATTCCCATGATCAACCTCTGCTTCCGAATCGCCCCACCCACCTAGACCCACCCGTTGCCCGCCTACGCATCGAGCAGATATCCATTCCCATTGCCCCGAAAGTTTATTATTTCTCATCGTTCGAGGGTATCGTATCGACAATTTGTCCTCGCCAACATGAATCGAATCCTTATTTCGAAAGTAACTATGAGGTGAGACGGATACAAAACTAACGCATCGACCTCATGGCGGTCGACCATAGGTTGCGACTCTCGATCCGACATGCCGTTAGTGAAGTCAAATCTCTCAAATCAAATCGAGCCGATAAGATGTTTATCACTTTTGTTAATGTAACCGTTTCGATACCGACCTGGGTCTCGCTCTCGCCGTTTTCGTGGTTCATCGAAGGATCGATTGGATAATTCGTATTCCGGTCGATCGATCGGTAAGTCGATCGTTCGATTGGTCGGTCGGTCATTCGGTCGAGTTCAAGCAATCGACCAATTTTGGTAACAAAAGCAACACGCTCAACCGATTCCCCTGGTTACCTCACGCCAGGAGCGGCTTCGGGATAACTCACCCCAACAGAACATATACAGTACGGTTTTGAAGTACGCGCTACCTACTTACAACGAAAGTACTTTACGATGTAACTGACAGAAGACGCCTGAAGACATAGATAGCGTCGTCTGATCCGCCAACTCGCCGACAGCATGTTTGCACGCGCTTGCGCGCGAGCGTGCCTCCGATGTCCGGCGTCGAGGATCCGGGGCGACGACGAGCTTTTGTGTGGATGATGAGTTTGATGAGTTGGATGATGACGAAGAACATGATGTTTTTGGGCTGTTTGTCTTTATAACTAGTCGCCATTCGCGTGTCTCTTTTGCCTTGGCTTGTCGGTTCCCTCCCGAATGATGATGATGATTTAGCAGCAGCAGCGGCGTCGGCGGCGGCAGCAGCTATAATATGTTTTCCGACGGCGATATTTTACAACCTTCCAGCCGCCATTCGATCAGCTTACATCGATGAACCGAGCCACTCGGAGGATAACCAGAGCGGCGGCCAGCTGGTTCTCATTAGACGCGGGTGTGAGTGAACGCTGTCTACCGGTTGTGGTTGCAAGAGACAAAGAGAGCTAACGCATGGGTTGATATCGAAAAAGAGAGCGAAAAGGTGAAAATTCTGCTGTATAATGTGTAGGTTATCAAGTCATTACTCAGTACGGCTTTTGCTTCTTCCTGGTGTGATTGACTAACAAGAAATCCGTCGGGCGATCTACGCGTCCGTCTGTTTGTCCGCCCGTCCGTTCGTCCCTCCATCCGCAGGTCGTTCCATAATTCGAGACAGAGGGTGAAGAACTGTTGTACAAAAGGTTGCCCCTTGCATTAGACAGGCGAGAGGCTCACTCCAAGCACCCCCTCCCCTCAACGCGGAGTATGTGGGTAGTGGGTAAGCGGAGGGAGAAAGAGCGAGCGAGCGAGCCGGTGAGCGAAGGGCAAAATTAGCCAGACAAGTTACGCGGATCAGTTTGCCTGTGAATAGAGGAGAAGGGAAGGGGAATTTAGCTCTCGTTTCCACGGGTATCGCCGATCCGTGACAATTGTCGCTCCGAGTGAATAGAGAACGCTTGATAATTCTTGTCCGATCCGAATGCTAGCAAAAACTTTTCGTTGATCAGCTTCGGGGAGATAAGATATTTTTTCTGCTCTCCAAAGGAATTGATATGTACGATGAAATGTGGAAGAAGCGACAACGGAAGCGAGAAGTATCGAGTTCGAATCAGGGCCCCTCTCATGTTTCGATTACATATTACGGAACGAGTGAAAGCAGTCACCAGCCGACGGGGTCGTCACACGTTTACCACAACGTGAGCCTGAGAAAACTTTCGTCGTGTGTCTTTTAGGAAGAAATTGAGAGGTCTCACCGAAAGCAATCTCCACCGACATGAGCTTCGAATATTCAATGTCTCATCTTGAGTTGACTGGCTACTCCATGAGGCTTACCTGCAAGGACTCGACATTGGAGACCATCCCGAACTTTCCTTGTCCTTCATCAGCTATATGGAAAGTGCTGTCCTGTCCAATCTGGGAAGGCGCACGATCATGAGAATCGCACGAACAATAATAAATTCAAGTGCCGCATCGACATTTTCAGTGTCGATACATTCTCGAGCCAGAAGCAATCAGAAACATACGAATGGAAAATATCATCGTCCCACTTCTGCCGGATCATTTTCGGCGGGGGACCACGGAACTGAACTCACCTCAACCGTCTCCACGGTCTGACCGTCCTGGTCTTGGTAGATGATCTGCTCGTCGCCGGCAACAACTTCAACAGAGTCCCCACCAACAACCTCGACTTGTTCGCCCTCAATGTACTCGCCCACCTCTTCGACGTAGCCGGCTTCTCCACTGGGGAGCAGATGATACTCTCGTTGAAGCTGAGCCGTAGCCGCAGATGTTGGCGAGAGCAGAACCGCTTCTTTACCGTTGACGTTGACAATGTTGCCCGAGCTGGTCGTAGTGACGTACATGGTTTTGCCGTTGCTGTAGATGTGCTGCGGGAGATCGACTTGCGTGATGATTGAACCACGAGTGTCGTCCATCGTAGTCACCTGGCCTTCTTCGATAACGTATTCGTTCTGCACACCCATCATGTCCATCGAGTTGAGCGGCGAAGGCTCTCGGTCCATCGAAGCATCAGTGATAACGTTGATCATATTGCCGACTGCGCAATGATTGGGCGATGACGGCGCGGATCTGACCGTGGTCGTGTAGGGTCCAGCGCGGAAGCAAGGCATACCACGTTGTCTTCGTCGCTTGAACGCCTGCTCGACGAGCTTCTCCTCGGAAGCTGGATCTATGCGCCAGAAGGATCCTTTACCGGGTTCTTCCTGGGTTCTCGCAACCTTCATGAAGTAGCGATTCAGCGAGAGATTATGGCGGATAGAGTTCTGCCAGCCCTTATCCGCTGTTCGATAATAGGGATAATTTTTCGTGATGTACGTGTATATTCCGCTAAGGGTCAGCTGCTTGTCCGGAGCCGAAGAAATTGCTTGGACAATTAGCTGTGCGTAACTGTACGGGGGTTTCTGTTCGTCGTTCCCGACCGTCGGGGTGACAGCTCGTTCTGTATTCGAGCTGGGCGCGCATTGCACGACACGTTGTACGAGGTTTCCCACGACGACGTTCGGCTGCCGGTAGTGCGGATGAATCGTGTGCACAGAGCCCATCAAACTTCCAGAACGAGGCGATGTCGGACACGAATTAGCCGCCGAGATAGTTCCGGTAGGCGACGGGCACGGCGACTGGTCCGGTATAGAGATGCGCAGCGGTTTTATATCTCCCTGATCGTCTTGATGAACGGTTATAACGTTACCTTCAACGACGGGCTCCGTAACAACAGTCTGAATGATCTGTTCCTGGGCGACTTCATGTGAATGGTCCTCGGCTGCCATCACAATCGGACTGCTCATTAGAGTGGCCGCCGATGTCGTTGTTGTTGTGGTCGCTGCTGCTGCTGCTGCTGCCGATGCTGTTAGGGCTGTCGTTGTTGTTGGTGTTGTCGTCGACGTATTGGAATTACTCGGGTCGAGTAACGAAGTGAATAATATCTTGATACTCGTCGATGGAAAACGAAAAACGCACTTTTGGGGCAATTTCAATGGGGAAGGGGCTTTGCGCTGGAACACACCGTCAACAAACACCCCATTTTTTCCGTTGCATACCATGAAGAAGTCCTGGCCGTCGTTGAAGATCTCGAGGTGGCGACGCGAAATGAACGACGAATTCCCCATCGGTATATCGACTTCACCGTGCGACGAGTTTCGCCCTATAGCGATTTGCTTCTGCCGAACCTTGTAGTTGAACTCGCGCCCTTCCAAGACGGCGATGCAGTCTTCGTTGCTGCACGCCGTCCTGTCTTTCCTATTATCAAAACTCATCGTTGCTTCCTGAGGCCACCGGCCTTCGCTCAAGTCCGAACCGCTAAACTGCTCCGATTCAAACGACGCACGACGCCAAAAACGCCCAACTCACTCGGGATTTGGACCACACAAAGTTTGTAAACAACTCAGCACTCTTCGCAGTGTGTTGTGTTGTCGGGCCCGCATTACAGCTCACACGCAGCCCAATGTTGTGAGACAACAACGATGGAAATCTACGCTCGACACAGAAGCTTCAAGGTGAGACGCATCGCGCGCCAAATTCGAACGCTCCGCATAGAAGCCTCTTCTGTTGTTTATTTTCGTCCGGCGGCAACGCGTTGCTCACGCACGCTGTCGCTGCCAGCGCTCTGCCGATGGCGATGCCGATCACGGTCCTGGGATTGACGTTTCCCTGCTCAGAATTCCGCTTGAATTGTCGATCTTAGGTCCATGACTCCCCGGAGTCGGAGGTTCCTGAGCTCGTTCGGAATTCGGAATGCAAACAAGAAGCTTTAGGGGATGATGAAGAGAATCGCTGACGATGATCTTTGTTGAAAGCTCGAGCCCGATGGGGCGTTTCCCCCTTTTTGTTTCAGTTTGGATCCCGAGATGCCGGTCGAGTACTGACGATAGCACATTGCTCGTATGCCTGGATCGAATGACTTTCGAATGTCGCGTTTGCCCTTCCCGGGCAAGACCAACCGTACCGGCTGAGCTTGTCGAGCTTGCTTCGGAATAATAGACCAATTCTCGGTAATTTTGAGAAGACGGTGCGGCCAACTCAGATGAATCCGGATACCGGCATTCGCAGGAGCGCCGAGATCACCGGAGGATCCCGATGTATTCCCTTTCCAACTAGTCTCTTCCAACAGAAAAAAACTATTCATGTTCGATTCTTCCCAAGCACCGGTGTGCTCAAGCAGAGATCACCATGGAGATCAGCCTCGCCTCATCCGTCTACACATATTCCCATTGTGCGGGGATGGCTCGTATTTTATTCGTGCCGAGACTGGCATTCTTACCCCTGGAAGTCGCTGTCCCTCATGGGATTATGCTCATTGTGGGCGCTATCACTAATCGTTGTGGTCCCCACAAGGCCTTCACCGCTAGAGGCTTCCTTACAACCATTCGAGACTGGAGAGAATACGAGAGCAGCTTTCGACCTTGTTGCTCTGTCTCTCTCCGGGAACTCAGGTCTCTCTGCTAGGAGTAAAGAGTCAACACACCCGCTGATCACCAGCGGCCAAAACAACAGCATTTTCTGGAATGACGAGTTGGAGAGAGGTAGTCGGTGTACACCCGTGCACCTCAGTTAGCGACTATAGGATTGGAGCGCGTGCTAGATGCATAGGCTACATCCGCTGAAGCAGAGAATAGATAGGCATTCTCGATACGGAATATTCTCGATTCTCGATACGGAATATTCTCGATTCTCGATACGGAATATTCTCGATTCTCGATACGGAATATTCTCGACACAAAAATTCTCGAAAATTCTCGCCACGCAGAACTCGACACGGAATGAATGAAGAAACACAGCCGGGAACCGGCGGGAATTCCAGGCCGCAGTGCCCGGGTAAGGGCTAGCGAGCGAAGCTATCTACGCAAAATGTGATGCCGATACGTTCGTCTAGACTACGGACAGGTGTGCTTCTGATGTGCAGACCCACCTCAATCCACGAAATCAAAATACCTCTCCGGTGCGCGAGGAGTTGAAGCACGAAAAACATCCGTTCTGGGCTTATTCCTAGCTCAGCTGCACCGCTACCATCCTACCTAATCGCGATTCCTTGCTTTGAATCTTCCCCAGCGTCGTTATTAGAGACTTCAACTTGTCCAAGCTTCCCTGAAACCCTGCCGCGAAAGGAAAAATCGCGGCTCAAGAAGCGGAGCTCTGGGCTGAATCCCTCCAGAGCCGAAAGAGAAGGTGTTGAGTATCTTGACTGCGAGCCCGCCTGCCACTTACCCAAGCTGTGACGCTATATCGAGTCTTCGTCCCAGTTTTTCCCCGGTCAGTTACGGAAATTCTGAGATTGGATCCTCGCTAGGCTTGGGTGAGCCATTAACCGGGTCTCCTTCACAGGGGCGGCCGTTCTCCTCCGATTCTCCTCTGCGGGACCACGATTCGGTCTCAAGGACTAACCTTCGCTCATTGGACAATTCAGCTGATATATTCGAAGCTCGAAATCATCTTTCAGACCAAAGATCACCAGAGGGTGCATATTCACGTCTTTGCCTCAGGACGACGACACATGTTTCGAGAGACTCTATGCATATCCGCACACCAACGCGATGATGGCGGCTCCGACTTCCGTTCATTCGCGAACGTAGTCTCGGTTCCCCAAGATATACTGACGCAGACGATTGGAGAGCATTTACGCAGGGCTGATCGGGAAGCCAGAGTACCCGAGTGGAGAAGCTGTGATTGCAGCTCGCTCCAGTTCCGGGAATTTTCTTCCAGGATCTTCGTCTGGAGAAACATATCCCACTTCCTGTCAGAGTAAGCGTCAGGCTTCCTGATAGGAAAGTCATCACAACTAGGCACCGATAGCCGGAATAGATTAGTCCCGTGAGTCCCAGGATTAGCAACAATGGACATTAAGACGTACCTTAGAACGTGCATTGGATGCCATGTGCTGCCGTCAACTCGGCCTCAACGGTGATACTTTTCACGAGGAGAAGGTTGCGGAGAAAAACCCGTCGGAATGCCGCGCTTGACTCGAGCCAGGGCTGATGAGATGAATTCAGAGCCAACTGAAGGAATTCGCCGCCGTACCGCTGACCTGAAGCTTCCGTCCACCCTGACCAGGAAGGGGAAGGCGGAATCCATAGGAACGGATCTCCAGAAAACCCGCCGCCCAATGCTATAGCCTCCTCAACCTACGTGGGAATCCGGCACTGCATGAAACGACACATTTGCATATCTGCACCGAAAGGCTTTGATGCGGGAATCGACCTGTACCAGCCAATGTGCCGATACGTGAAGAGAGTATTTTCCAGTCGAAGCGTCATTTTGTGATTGTTTTCTGGACCGTCTCTCCAGTGATCACGTGATTCCAGATGTATACTTGAGGTTGCTTCGAAGGAGTCTGTTTCGGCGAGCTTGTGACGTCGGCGCTACCTATGGTACCTACTCTTGTTGTGCGGAAAGGAGGGCCATTTCAAAAAAGACAAGAAATCCTTTATGTAAGCATAAAGTGTACATAAATATGTAAGCTAAGCATCAAAAAACATGCTATCACACAGCGAGCGTCCTGCGGCTTCTTCCCGTGATGATTTGTTTTCCTGGAACAAGCGTCTCCAAAGGAAGGGTCCGATCGTCAATCATTATAACTATGGATTGGATGGAGAAACTAAGAGCCGAGGTGTATTAGCGTCACGCAACATCCCGGTCAGGGGGAACATCGTCGAAACGTTGCTAACAAGTGAGATCAATCTCCCTCTGGCGGTTCGGAGCTGCCTCGAGAAGAGCCCGCGAAATTCTCCGCAATCTACGCGTAACCTATCATCAGCCCCCTCCTCCCATCTCCGGATGCTGGGTCTTAAAGTAAGCGAGAAGAATCGAAATCCCAGCGAATCTCAGATTTTCTCGAGAGTAGCATCCGACACGACAACTCGACACTTATACGTCGACGCGACCCTATAAATTGAATTCAGGGACCGCTGAATCGCCATAAGCACGTTCTCCGAGACCGGTTTGTGGTGTAGGAAAGCTTTCAGCTCCTCAGCCCTGCAAGCGGAGACAGGGAGAAAAACATTCAGCGTGAGACCGTCACTGGAAATTCAGAATTTGCTTCTGACGGAGGATTGGAACATGGTCCTTACTTGGATATTAGGGTCTGAATCGTCGCCTTCGTTTGAGACGGCAAGCCGTCCGAGCAGTTTCTGAAAACGTTTCTGTAGCCCGGCAGAGTTTCACTGGAGGGCAAGTTTACCCGTGCGCCGCTGAGATTGTCCGGATCGATCTCGTGGTTTATGTGGGTTGGCGAACCCGTAACGTAGAGGATTCCTTTATCATCGGTGAAAACTCGAATGTGAGCTGTGCAGTATGCGACCTTGTTCGCGACAGATCTCCTAGAGCGCATGGTGAGCTCGCTCTGATCGGTCGTCTCGGCCTGACGCATCTTATAGCTCATGAACTCGTGGCTGCAGTGATAGATTCGACCTATGCGGCCGTCGAGGGATTTCCGACCTCCGTTGTGCGCCACATAACTTGTCGTATACTGAACCTGAATGGGCGGATAGAGATTCTAATCGGCGGATCGAATTTCGATTGGAACGGTATGTATGTAAATTGCGACAAGCTATGACGAGTTCGCCGGTCGACTCTTTGTCGATGCGTCGAGGTTCGGGAAGTTCACTATATTCTTTTACGTACCTTCACGTCTTCAAGCCAGCGGATGTACGATTCCTTCGTTGTGAAAGTCAGATTGAAGAGAACGACTTCCTGCGCATGCTTATGAGCCAAATGCAGTAGGAGCTCATGACGAGAGAAGAATCGTGATTCGCATTCGGGACATTTGCCCTTATCGCCTTGAGGCTTCACCCGGAATTGATTGCTATCGGTCTCGTGAGCTCTCCGCAAATGTCGGTAGAAATTGCTCCGTTTACTAAATGTGGCCTGACAGAACTGGCAGTGCACGAACTCCTTTGTCTTCTGTGTGAAAGAGCCATCAGTCGAAGCTCCCGAGGGGGACGGGGTGTCTTGCAGTTCCGGGGATGGGCGAATCACATCGATGTGCGTGGCGTTCGCTTCAATATCCATAAAATCTTCGGGCTGAGGAGGATAAGACGAGCTCGATATCATTATCTCGCTCCCCCGTGGGATCCCTCGAGAAGGAATTCGATACATATGCTTGAAATTATGGGCACCGACTAACCTCGATGGATTTGCTAATTTCGGCATCTTCGACTTGTTCCTCGAGAACATCTATCAACGTCAACTCCCCACCCTGCTGGACAGGCAGGAGCTTCTGTTGGGTTAGAACATCAACGAACATGTGTTGCCCGGCGATGTTTTGTATCGAATAAGTGCGTCCGTTGATAACCACTTCTTTCGAAGAGGTATCAGACCCATTGAGGAGCTCATCTCCGAGCGAGGGAATTTCGAGGATAGCTGGAGAAAGAGAGAAGCTTATTCGGACAACGCCGCTCCGGGAAAACATCATATTCACATCGAGGCTGGAAGTGGAACTCCGGAAACCTCACCTGTTGACGACGATCCCGAGGCGTCGTAAACGATTTCAGAGCTAGAACTTGCATCTGCACGCTTGACGATTGGGACAACCCTCGGTGAGAGAGCCTGCGCCGGCCGGACTTTGACTTCGACCGGTTCAGCCGAACGATGAACTACGACCACCTGGAATCAGAAAAAACGGTCAGAGGGTTTAGTATTGATGCTTCGCTCCTCGGCGTAGAAAGATCTCTGCTCCACGGGACGGTACGGATAGAATCACTGGGATGAGATGGAGAGCGAAGTTTCGAAGGAGCCGTGGAGGTTTGAAGAAACAATCAGAGTGGTGACCTTTTCGCGACGCTGTCGCCGTCGAAGCTACTTCTATTGCTCTCCGACGGATGTTCTTGAAGTGTTTCCACCGTCTCCTCAGAACCATTCATTCGATCCACAGGTCACACTCCAATTTACCAGAGTGCAGTGCGGATCCAAATGGAGATAGAGAGCCGTCACAGGGGGCTTCCATGGGCATGTCTTTCGGTTGCAGAGAAGAACGCATGGCTTCCGCGACGATTCGAACTTACTTTTGTTTTGGCTTGAGGACTTATCAGACGGACTTTCCGTCCCACTGTTTCGACAATGGGTTTCTCTGCCATAGCAGGGAAAGTTCTTCCAGTTGCCGCCAAAGATTCAATCCAAGATTCACGATCAGACTCTGCACACAACGCGAATCCACACAGATTTCGTCCCCGGCATGAACGCATTTTCTTAGAGCATGGGACCGCGGCGGTCTCTGCTGCACCTTTTTGTGATTGACTTCCTTGCTGCAGAAATTATAGGGATGATTCCGTGCGATGCGCCCCGGCTCGATGCTTTTACAGGGACATGAGGAAACGTTATCGCTCGACTCGAGTCCGTTCTGACGCCAATGGGGTTCTGGCTGTCGCTCAGTGGAGGCTCATTGGAGCTCCCGCTGCGTGCTACCGGTGTAATTGTGTACGCGGGAAGCTGCTGCCGGACCCGATCGATATGCGATTCCCGAGAGTTCATTGCGATGGTCTTCTACGCTCGATGAACTCTGGGAACTTAGGGAAGTGCTCCACATATATCAAGTGAACGATCTCGGATTTCTCCGTAGAGAGCTCTGCTATCCAGGGGCGCGCACAGGATGTTTTTTTGGGGGGGGGACTAGAGTTCTGGAGGGGGCCAAAAATAATGACGCGACTTCTCGGGGTCCGTTTTTTAGCATTGAAACCGAAGAATTCCGATAGGGGCAATTGCCCCCTTGTGCCGCCCCCCTGTTCGCGTCTCCGCTGCTATAACGGTCCCGTGATACTACTACAACAATAAACTCTCTCTACTCAATGCCCATCGAAAGAGCAGCCTCGAAATCGGCCATATAGCCGAGGTACTTCAATATTCGATGATAATGTTGAATTCCCGATGTGCGTCGATTGCGGAGAAACATCGTGGATATCTGATCGCAAGATGGGCTTCGATCGATTGATTGAACGGAGGAGCAGCCCTCAGTTACAATACATACTCGTGAACGGTCAGGAACGGAAAAAGTCTCGTTCCGATTCGTTCCATGAGGCGCCAGACCCAAATTGTTGTTCCCAAAGCGGGTGAGACCCTCCCTTCTTTCTCCTCCCTCCCCGCCGCACCGCTGGCGAAGGCTTCGTGGAGTGGACTCGAGCTCCGTGGACCTTGAGGCTTTTCCCCGCCGCGAGATCTAGTCGGAGATTTGAGGGAGAGATTCTCGTCGAGATGCATGCCCGTGGCTCCTAAGGGGACCTCGCGCTCAGTCGTAGTCATTGATGATACGATGTAATCCATACCATATGCAAACGTCGCGCGTCTGTCACGTGGATCATAGTGATCGGCGAAGCTGGACGCCAACTCGAGCAACCGTCAATTTACGAACAGGCTGCCATTGTAGGTAGGGCTGTCTCGTTGCCACAGCCATGCGGGTGATTTCTCAGTCGCAAGTCGCAAGTTTCAAGGGCTCGCAGGATGCCGATGTATCGGATCCGTGACAAGATGGCGATTTCCACCTAGGGACGCAGTTGAACGAAGACCATAGTTCTACCCCATCACCAGGAGGGCTCCGCGGGAAATTCGGATCGAGGATTTCCTCAGAGCACATTCTCAATTCTCGGAGAGGAGAGCGGTCTCACCGAGCTTCCAGGTCCCAAGCTGTGAGAGATTGCCTCATTCGGAAATGCTCTTGGGCACGCGATGGGCAGAAAATGGAGAGCTGTGATGTGTAACGTTCGTTCTCCTACAGTCATCGAGTCTCAAGATATTCTGCATCATTATGATTTTTCCACTCGATGTCTCACTCTCTCTGAAGAACGCAGATGATCAGGGGGCTCGAGGGAATCGCTCCGGTGGCTCGGGGTATCGGGTATCGGGGAACGAGGTATAATAATCATTTTACAAACAGTGCTTCTCGTCCTCATTGGGCTCCTATGCTTGAGTCTTTATTCGACGGCCTCTAGCATGGTTTTCGAAACCTCAAAATCGGAGCTCTACTCATCAGGCTAAGGTCAGGAACTCCACGGCCAGCGAAGCTAAAGTTTGGCCAGACTTGTTCAAGACCCGCGGCGACTGTATGCGTTGCCAGCGCCAGTCGAACCTCTCCTGCTGTAGAGTTCCGAATCCGCGGATCGACTTTCATCGTGAGTCCAAAGGACCTGAAGTCAGTTTCCGGAATGTTTTTGTCAGCTGCTCCCATACCAGCCTCTCCTGCATTACATGCTTGGGGAACCCTAAGCTCATCAAGAGTTTTTCCGCATTAAGCCCGAATAATCCCCCAGAGTCGTCGTATGTTTATGCCCTCCGGACTCTTGAGACATCTGAACATCCTCGCCCGCGACTTTCGTGCGAACCGGTCAAGTGTTCTTGAGAGAGCCAACTCACAGATGAGCTGTCCCGACCGCTCGCTGTCTCTAGTGCGAAGCTCCATTTCAGGAACAATAGAATTTTTCCCGCCGGTCTTCAACATATGAGCACGTTCACTTCGCAAAATTGCGCTGTCGTCCCCTTATCATTCAAGCTCCGCAGCTTCTCTCCCAACAAGCTTTCTGCCTCGATTCTGCCTGTTCTCAAATCGTCAGATAGGAATGGTCGGAGATGCGAGACGGAAGATGTTCGAAGCCTTAGCGAAATACGCTTTCAGAACTCAGAGAAAGCGTTGTCCCCCAGTCATGAAGAATGCGAGGCGAGCACATGAAGAAACGGGGAGAATCGTCCGAAGTCCTCGCCGGTTTTCTCTAGCGGAGACAGAGTTGTTGACAGAGGATAAGGAGGGGAACGCCAACTCGTGGCGCGACACGAATCCAAGTACTCCTGCATTCATCGGCACTCTTTCTCTGATGAGCCGACATCATTGATTCTTGTCCTTCTTCAAACGGCGGATAGTTGACCGCGAGAAGTACGACGGCCGTCTAGCGATAAGGAGAAGAGAATCCGCCCAAGTTTCCCCTTCGACCATTCGACACCGGAGCTCGATTTCCAAAAATACCTGAACGAATTTCACGGGTAGAGGACTTTCTCATTCCATGAACATTTGTCCTCCCTCGCATCTATTACTCCACTCAATAGTTTTAACGGCGGATCCAGGGCGCTCGGGCGATCGCTCCGCCCCCCCTCTCCCCGAGGATTCTGACCTTCTGTAGCCCCATATCAAGGCGGGACTCAGGTATCAATCCCCCTTCCTCGATGCATTGACTGCCCCCTCCCCCTCGGAGGAATCCTGGATCCGCCCTTGAATGATACCTACCTCAGCAATGAAAGTACCGGCGGGCAGACCGGACATGAGACTCACCTCGGCTCAGGAGCTGCGCAGTGCGTATCGAAAAAGAATAATTTGGGCGCACTTGATTTCTGCGAACCGAGCGGGCACTTACTATTTAGACACGAAGAGTTGGAGTTGGTTCTCCGGAACGAAGGCGGAATTCCACGAAAAATGATTTCTGAGAAAGTGACAGCCTCGAACTCTAATTCTCCGCCTCTTCGGAGGCAAACGTCTAGGAGTGTGGTTGCAAAAATGAAGAATGTTTGTTAGCTTTTCCTGTCGTAGTCTTCGGCGATGAGACAAATAGCCTCCGGCTATTCCGCTCCAAAAGTTTTCAGAACGTGTAAGAGACACTGCCATGTTCTCCTAGGCTTGTCGCTAGATCGCTAAACAAGTCGGCGTACGTAGAGATGAAAAGAAGGCTCGGCGAAGATAGCTCATGTCGTCTGACTGTACCGACCAGCCTGCCATGGTGCCGTCGAGAAGGATGAGATGGAAAATTGGAGCTAGAATTCTGGAATTTTTCGCTCCAATCGGGGAGCTTCATTGACCTGTCCGTTCGCATCCGTGAGAGAGACGATCGGTTCATGCCTTCTTCGGGGATGAGCAGGAATACTCCGCAGTCATTCAACGTCTAATTGACCAGAGAGCGAAAGGCGTGTGCCCAAAAGATCGAGGCTGATTCTTCGAAGCAGGTTGTTGGTCAAAACACGCGAAGGATCCGGCGCAGGAATACGCACACGGCTTGGCTTCCAATCGGGTGAGATGGTCATGCTCGAGTAGACCCAAGCGCTAAACATCCTTCGAATGACGCACCTCAACGGCTTTCACAAGAGGCACGAGACGGTAGAGAAGGCATACAACTCTGCTTCCTTATGAATTAAGCTCGCCGACATGAACATAATGGCGAGGGAAGATACTCGACAACTGATGCTGGACACCCACTGTGACTGAACAAATGCTCGCGAGGGAAGAGCTCGTCTCAGAGGTTCGTCTCAGTCGATCTCTTGCGAGAACCCCGCACCAATCTGTATGTTCGGGATACCTGCCCCCGAGGAAACTCAAGTTGACTGACCAGTCGCTTCTCGAGCTTCAAGGGCAGCCCGGACATCCGATTGAGTCACTGCGCTGGGACTCGCGCCAAGTACGGGTTTATTTTAGGCGGAGATGTCGCACCGAAACTTTTCTTCCTGTCGATCCGAAGTCGAGCTCGATTGGGCCACGAGGAACGTGAGCAGATTCGAAAGAGTTGCGTGAACTCTCGGGGTCGCTGGGCTGGGTCATGTGATAGGAAAGTGAGCTTCTGCCGGATGAGGCTACCGCTGCTGCTCCTTGGCGAGTTGACGCTCACAAAGAATTCATCGAACAAGCTTCGCGCCTTACCGTTCTGGTATTGGATAAATATGAGGATCAATGATTTTGTTTCCGGGATTCGCAGTGAACAAATCGGTGTATTCGATGCTCATAGCGGCTTGACGTCAGAGGCTCATGTCTCCTGTATGGTGAGGGTTGATTTCGGAATACAGAAAAGCTCGCTCTTGGGGCTCAGAGTCGAGTTTACGTTTCAGCAGGCGGGAGTCTCCGTCGCGAGTACAGCGTCGAAGAGCTTCTCCGTGTCATCGGCCGTGTCCCCGCAGAGCTCATGCTTCGATGTTCATCCCGGGGGGATCTTGACAGTGACGTCTCCGTTGGCTTTGATTCAACGTTTCCCTCAAGTGCCGAGTTTCCGTTTTACGGCCGCAATCGTTGTTCGGAGCGCTCAATAAATATCAGTTCGACATTGCGGCTCCGCAACGCTCCGAATGATTCCCGAATACGGACAGGGAGCGCGACAACGGCCTATCCTTCCTTATTGCATGTTGTCTGGTCTCCGCAAGGGACGTGGGAGGAGCGGACCCACGAATGCGGAT